ATTAAATCATCTCTGATGTTGATAAACAGTAAAAATCTAAGGTTTGTTGTTTAAAGGGATCAATGCTTTTGTGGAAGATTTATTGTGCTTTTGTGGAAAACAACTTCTACTTTTAATGCACATGACGAACACCATACCTTCATTTAAAAGCACCTTGTATGAAACTGCGTTCTTGGAAATAATTAAGGATAAGTTACAAATATGATGAATAATACTCTAAGGTTAACTAAAGTGCCGGGTGTTCATTAAGTGCCTGGGCAATTTTGACAACTTTTTGTTTGAAAATGGACAACATTTGCCTTTGCTAATGGTCACACTTTCACAAGCAAGATTCAAAGTCTTTGTGCAAAGTGCCCTAAAGTAGCGGTGAGCCATAAAACTGAAAAATGACCTCTGGTCCTGAAAGTTTGGGTGATTTTACTTAATCAACGTATCGGCTATTATTACTTTTTCACAGAAGAAAAATAGTTTAAACCTCTTCATGCAGCACAACACATTATTCATTCACTTTTAGCTGTAATAGGAAAATAAATTGTTAGTGAGAAAAACTTTGATATACGCGTAATAACACCACAAAAATTTACAGCACCTATTCCTGCAGGGTGCTCAAAATAATAAGTAAAATTTTTCATGGACTCTGTGAATATATTTTAAGTCTCTGAGCTATAAACATGCAGCTATGAGAAGTAAAATTTATGAACATAAAAAGGGTGGACTAGATTATTTAAATATGGCTAAGCACACAAAGGATATTTGTTTAAGGAGAGGGATGCCGAGGGCTTTCAGAAGAAGACTGGCTCGTTATATATGGGAAAAACATGAAAATCAAACATGCATTCAGCTCGATTACATAAACTCAGTTCACATAATATATTTCAGAATAATTCAGGCTCTAAAGTATTTTGGAACTCTACACCGTGGGTAACAATTTATGCAATGACTGAGCTTCAGCATAATGGTTAAATAAATTCAAATCAATTGCATTTGATTGGTTAAATGTAATACTGTGATTTTGAGAAAATAAAGAAACTACTGAAGAGAATCTTTATGAAACTGAATTATTATTCCTCATGATTCTTACTGATGAAGCAAATCTTAAGGTGACATTTTGCAAAAGTCTTCTTGAATCTGTGGTTTTCGTAAGTATAATGACATGTGATGAGTAGAAGCTTCATCTGCGCAGTTCAGGCAGTTGAACAGAATGGCTGGTTTGTGGACAATTAGTTAAAAAAAGTTGTAAAATAAAGATTATTAGGGAAATTTATTTTCCTTGTTGGAAAACTTTAAGGCAATTTATATATTTGAAATAGAGTTTTTAATCTTTATATCAATTTTTATGGAGATGTTTTATATCAATAATTTCCTTATACTTTCCATTCTTTATCGCCAAAAGTTAAACAGGAGGTTCACTTTTTTAAGGTAAAATACCCGTTTGATCCCAAAAAAGTTGTTTTCCCCCATTAAAACCACTGATCTTTCACTGTACAGCGCTTCTTATCTAAAAATAACTGCTTTCAATTAAATAAAAATTTTGTCTTATCCATCATAAGCCTGGATCTTGCTTCTTTCGACTGTCATATGTTCTAGTTTATGATGTCATATTTTTCCTAGTAGTAACTTTTTAATATAGATGATTCGGAATGCGAGAACCTTAATTTTTATTTTAAATACCAAGAAATAATAATTCTAAGAAAGTGAAAATTAATAAAATGATAAAGAAGTCAATCAAACGTTATGGCTTCGATCTGATGAATGAGATTATACAGTTCTAGTCAATTTACGTGTCCTTGGCTACTCGAAATTTAGTGAAGAGTTTAATGACTATTCTCTGGTCTTCTTACAATTATAAGGATGAGACCAAAGTAGGGTTTAAATATCCTTTTATTCAGTCACAAAAATAATACTTCCCGTCCGGGCTTACAGGAAAGCCTCCATCTAGGGTTTAACTTAAGATAGAAATCGAGGAACTGAACTAATTCAAGCTTTAGCCAAAGCTGTGCAAAAATAACCAACCGAGTCGGCCTGTAATTAAACCTCACCGGCGAATACTAACAGGCAATTAAGACTATGGACGAACGTAGAAAGATAGCAGTGATGTGGCTCGAAGGCAGAACACGCTTTCCTGAGAACTTCGGAACTCTTCTCCGGAATTCCAAGTTCCTAGTGTCACTGTAAGCCACGATTATTGTGCAATTTCGCGCAACATGTTCCGGCTGCCATCAATTTACCTAGACTGGCGCTTCAGGTAGAAGAATGCATGGCTATGGGTCCAAAGGGACAGCGCTGAAGGTGACCGGGTGTGACAAGTTTTCACGTAAGTCTTCCATGGAAGTGACTGAAGTTCCCATTAAATACTGGTTCTACTTCATTTACATAAAGCGCAATACTAAAATCTCATTCTAGTAAGGAGTTGTAGGTGGAAAACAATAATTCAAAGGAAAGTTTTTCAAAGTTAAAGATGACTTTTAGAAAATTAAAATAATCTCTAGAAGATTTTATTTTAATACTATATACAGAAACGATGGGCTTACAAAATTATTTGTTTGATCTGTCCAAAGATTTGTGTAAAATTACAATGAAAAGAGTAATAAAATAGTACGATCCCTCCTTTTATTTCTTAGCGTGATAGCAAAGAAATTTAAAAATATTGTCGAAAATCGTAAAATATATTTGCAAAGGTAACAAACTGAAATTTTTTGAGGTACGAGATCTAAAATTTTATAATTTTAAGTAATCATCTGGTTTTAATTTTCATGAAATGCTAATACATTAAATATCTTATAGACTCTAAATAATGAATTATTCAAAATGATGTCATTTGTCCTAAAACGTAAAGTACAAATTTCGTCAGAAGCAGCAATGCTTAATTCCACAATATTTATTAGACAAAAAGCTAACTTTGTACCATTCCAGTGAAGTAGTTTTCAGGTTTGTTTGAAGATTTCCAGGCACTTCATGAACGTTGAGACTTTTCATTTACCCTTCTGAAACATTCTTCACTACAGTCGAGTTTAATAAGAGAGATGCGTATCCATCAATGTCTTTTGCTTGTGTTGTAGGCAAAAAATAATTTATGTAAATATGAAACTTTAACACATCACTAAATTAGGTGCACTGTTTATGACATGTCTGCGGAGATCTGGAAATAATATTTCTACGCCTTTGTCTGCACCGTGGATAAGCAAAGTACATTTGCTGTTTGGAGTAATACGAACAAAGTGAAACATATTTTCATATATGAAAGGAAGGTATAAAACTCTAGAGAAGAAAATGTTTTTTCAAGTGTCCTTAATGGATCCTGAGAACACGGATCTGATTTTTTTTTTTTTTTTTTTTTTTTTTTTTTTTTTGTCATTAAAGAATTTATTGGTATTTTCATTTACTAAATTTAAATAAAAATTCTTTAAATTTTTTATACATCATTTCAAAATCCTTCGTTTACACATTTATTTATACCTCATACCTTTTTTTCAATTTAAAAACTTTCTTCTTGCATATCTATAACTCTTCTGCCTTCAGAAAACTTTTGTCTTTAGCAACATCGTTATGAAATTTAAAATTTAGAGTACGCTTTATCTTTAATGTTTAGAACGTTTTGATATAATTCGTTATTATACAAACTGAACACGAAACGTACTTTTTGTTCTCTTTACCTTTTCTTTTTTGGGTTAGTCGGAAAGGAAACATACCTTCAATACTCTCTGAAACGCATGAATTTTCTTTAAGATACCAATAGAAATCCGAGTAAAATGCTTCTCATAGACACTATAAAGACTGCATTAGGTCTTCAGGAAGAACAAAAAAATGTACATCTGCCTACTTTTATGGAGATGATTTGACTGCTTTGAGTAAGAACCACGGTGATGACGTAAAAATGGAACAATTTATTTGATGGAAGCATGTAGCATACTAAATTTAGAAATGTCTGATTTTTCTATTACTTTTTTTCCTTCGTGCTATTTTACGTTATCACAACATTGATCAAACTCGTGGCCTCGAAATGTGATTGCATTATTATAGTAAAAGCAAAAAAGTATGCTATTTAAAACAGTTTATAGCTTAATAATTTATAGAAATAATAGTATCTGAATAATTCTGAACCTTGTTTGTAGTTATTTGAGGAGTTAAAGCAGCAAGAATCAGCGTAATATAACGCTTACTGCTTTAACTCCTAATAATCATTATTCGGAGTATTAAGTCAAATTTGTTTATTGTGTTTATAAATTTAACAATATTTACTCTATTGTAATTAGTAAATGATTTTCCTAATATCATAATGATACCGGTCAGAAATGCAAGAAGCAAACAATAATGAGAGGCTCAATAGGCTGTGCAGAGGTTTTTTTTTTTTTTTTTTTTTTTTTTTTTTTTAAATTTCTTAGTTTAACCTGCAAAAAAGCTATATACTTTTTAGCATGGGGGGAATTTATGTTCCAATGCGTAAAATCAAAGTAACTAAAGTTTTTGTCGAATATTTAAATCTTTTTCTTTTAATGTGTTAGAAAAAATTAAGCTCTCCTTATTTTTAAATTAATGATTGTAGGTAATAACTTTATGCACCAAGATTAAGCATTGACCTTATTTGTAGATGATACTTTAAGATGTGTAAAAGAGTTCGTATTAACGTACATAGATGGCAGCAGTGTCGCAGTGATTGGTTTTGACTAACTGTCAGCCTTTTAGTTCGAGCTATGGACCATAGATGGCAGCAGTGAAATATTAAAATTTAGTTTGGACTTTAAAATGATATATATTATATTAAATACCACCTTGATGTATGTATGCAATGTTCCATTTTAAGAAGCAAAGTCTTCGCTATAAAGCAAATCTGCTATAATATCACAGCTAATCGCTATAATATTACGTAATAATTATAATATAAAGCGCTCATAATAAATTTCCTTTTAGCTTCTTTATTGCTCATTCTAAATTTTTGAAAATGAGTTCTTACTTGAGTATGCATAAATAACTAAAGCTTAAAAGAACAAATATACTGTAAAAATATTTTCATAAATTTAATAATAAAATTTATGCATTATTTTAATAAATAAAATAAAGCAATTTTTAAGAATGACATATGCGTTTTAGTAGCATTTAGGAGAAAGATATTTTCGTAAATAGAGTACGCATTTTGAAAGTAATGCATTAACCCTATAAAAAGGTGTATTGAAAGCCGCTAGTATTAATACGCCTTCAAATTATCACAATATATTGCGATATATTAAAAGTACAGAGTACAGGGCTTTCATTGGATATCATTGCAGAACACCAGACGTCAATCCCAGTTGCGTAGCTCCGGTCTGTCACAAAAGTATTTTAAGCATTCAGGATTCTTCACATTATTCACTTGCGGAATGTGATTGGTTGCTACGATCTTCCGAATAACACTTTCTAGTCTCTTGTTATTCATATTATACTGAAAAGAAAGAATGTAGTTTCAAAAAATGGTAACGTAATGCTGAAAATTTTTTGATGAAGTATGCAAACAATCATAAAAAATGTAAATCATATCCAAACTAATTAATTTAATAGGTTAATTTTATATCACAGAATTATAATATTAACTAACTAGCTTTAGCTAATTTCTTGTCAGTAATGAGAATTGCGTTCATAACGTGATGGGTGCTCTCATCACAATAGAAATCCGTATTCACACTCTTATGCTTACATAGCATATGTTTTTACATCTATGAATAATGGAAATTAGAAATCTTTCAATTTTCTGATTAAAATGTTTCAAATTTAAGTCAAATTATATAATATAGCAGCTATCACCTTTTGCAAAAAAAAAAAAAAAAAAAAAAAAAAAAAAAAAAACTTAGCAATGAAGCATAGTAAAGATATCCAAAATGGAAAATTATGAGAACTGTCTTTAAATTCTTCTCGGAACAATACAATGAAAAAATAAAAGAATTGTGTTTTCTATTTATTTCGGTTTCCTGCAACTGTAATCCTTATAACTGTAATCGAAACTATTTGTTATTCAGACGAGTATCAGAACATAAAGGTTGATGATGAATAAGCATTATTATAATACATGAAGTAATACTAATGCAACATGCATTTATTTACATTAGAATGAAAGGAAATGGAACAATCATCAAAACATTTTGGATACGTCTTTTCTTGCCGTCGTTTAGCTTTCGTCTCATTGCGCACTCATTTAGATGGCGCTTTTACAATTATCTTACTCGGTTCCAGTTACAGTTCCTACATTAAAAAAATTCCTACATTCCTAATGTTTACAAACTAAAACATTCTGAAGAAAGCGAAAATATGATAATTCGGTTTACTCCAGAAACGAAAAGAAAAGGCTTTTTGAAATCTTTCGGAAGCTTGGCTAACATTAAGGTAAAAACTACTTTTGTATATTCTCATCATTAACACATTGTACAAATAGCAAATGAGAATGAGGTTAGTTAGAATCATATATTTTACGCTCAAGAAGATGAAATTTCGGAATTCTTAGTTGACTTTGCCGTGATATGCTTCCCAAAGGAAACTATTCATTACGTAATTATCTTTAATTATTCATAATCAATTGATAATCTGCACTGTTATATAAAATATCCTGAAAATAACTTCATACCTCGTTATTCAGTATCCTATATTCAAAATATATTTTTCATGCATCGCTTAGCTTTCCATTTTAATTTTTCTCTGTGGCACCAGAAAGTAAACGTATAATCCGCAGATACTGTGCCAAACCTTAGTGCGTTCTGAAACTAGTATTTGAAAAATAATCTAGGACGTCTTTTTAGAATACTATTTTTATTAAAGTTAATTGCTTGGCTTCCTATTAGAGTAATCCGCAGATTTTGAAAAAAGGATTTTTCTGTTAAAATGCCATACCTAGGCTTCTTCAAGCTATGTTTAATACTCGGATGTCGCCTCTATAATCCCTAATAAAACTATTGCCAGCACGTTCTGCTGAAGTCGAGTTCGATATTGCAAAAATATTTCTGAAACTCTTGACAGGTGATAAGTGAAAGTAGATGGTAACGCCCGAACCCTGCCACTGATTAGCAGATTCAGTTTAGGGTATGCACATATTTGTAGATATTTGTAGATATATGGAACTAAAAAGATGTGTTTAAAATGTTTTCTAAATTCTGGTATATTAATTATTGGCAAGTACTGGGTAAAATAGGGCAACGACAATTTTATTTAAAAAAAAAAAAAAAAAAAAAAAAGGCTGCACTGGCCTATCCAAATAAATGTATCGGAGTTCTAGTAGAAGCGAATTTATATCTCATTGGTAGAAACTATATAGAAATCGTTTAAAATAGATAATACTTTTTGGAAACTTGGAACTGATTGAATCTCCTCCGGGATAGGGTTGTTATGTTTTTGCAATGAACCTTTGCTTGCAGAGGGCTGATGAAATGATCCAAGTTTTCGCTTTGCCATTTGAGATGATGAGCTTCAATGAACAAGGAACAAGAAAATAAATGACTTAACTTTTCGATGTTTATAAATTTGAGCTTGGTGTTTTAGAGTTGTTTCTTTAGCTTTAAGCAAAGCAATTCCTATTCACTCTTGTCCAAGGCAGGTTTGGCCTTAATGATTTCTTAACAAAGCGATTTGTACATTTTGTTGCTCAAGCTGACTTAAAAGCTCTCACTTGCTTTTATTCATTTCGATGTGGAAGTCATTTTTACAGTTTTGATTCATTTCTTATTAGGGGTTAAAATATGATGCTCAGTGACTGACTTAATTTACTAAAATTATAGTTAGAAGTAATTTTTATACTTCTATTAAGAATAATAGTAATTTTCTTAAAAGTATTAAAACTGCCACTGACCCTTTTCAAAAACTGAAAACAGAATGATATGATTTTCATCTTCTTAACTTTTAAATTATCCCTCATTAAAAATACTGTCTTCATAACTGCTTCTAACTTTTGTGGTTATCAGTTATTGATAGTAAAATCATCACATGTTTTTTTCGTAATAGATTACTTCCGCATTAAACTCTCTTTAGAAAGATATTAACAAAACGGCTATTTCTACGCACTAAAACAATGTCGTGTAACGTGTTTACCACTTTCAGTAGATGTATTTCTCATGAACATTCCTCTAACATCTCTGAGGAACTACTGTTAAAAGCTCAATAAGATTTGAAATGCTTTTGCATAAACAGTTTTAAACTCACTTACACAAAACACACTTATACAAAACACACTTGTACAAATACACTTACACACATAGATATATAAATTTTACTTTCTTGAGAATCATGTTGCATTTTTAAATACATCTTTACAATTAGTGAGCGATGTTTTCTTTTAAAACACAAAGAACATATAAAATTTTCATCTGATTTCAACAAGGAATGGAGTTGTTGTTTGACTAATAGTATTAAACAAATTTTAAAGTCAAATATGAGTGCAACATACATATATATATGCTAGTCTATATGTATATAGTCAAAAATAGAATTAACCTGCATAAAAATAACTATGAAATCCAGCGTAATAGGTATGTTTTGTGTCCACATTTATAGAAACACTTTCTAAAAATGATAAACATAGCGCATCAATATGTTGGCGGTTGTACGAGCTAAGGAACGTATGATTATTCCACAAATTTGTGCATGTTTCAAAGGAAATTTTGAATTTTATTTTTAACCCATTTTATCCCACTGTCCTATTTAAAGGACAGCTGAAAAATAGCATGTAGAAATCAGTATTTGCTTGGTGCGAATATTTTGCCAGCTGGAATATGTAGGGATATGTATTAGCATCTGCTAGGGTGAATTATATGTCTCGCCCCCTCCCCCTTTCTCTGGACATTTTGATTATTCATCGCATTAGTGGGCGTGGTTTGTATTATCTCTTTGTGGTTGTAGAATTCGTTTTCAGTTTACTTTGGACACTCGGCTGGGCATTTTTTATGTGAAAGTACTCTTTCCTTATCATTCTGGTGATTGATGAAAGCTATATTGTGATTAGGTGAGTTTTAGCGCATTGTTTTTTAACTGTCCTCTAAATAGGACAATGGGACGATAAGTATGCAATTGATGCGTTCTTTCTCTCTTTATAAATAAGAGTAAAAAAATTCTAGTGTTCCACCCCTTCTGCGTTATATCAGTGCAAAGGTTTCTGAAGTTAGAGGAAGCATTAGAACTATTCAATAGTTTAGATTCAGATGAGAGCGACGTTCAAATTGCTGTGTTACCAGTGAACTAACTGACGAAGATGAAGGGGATGAGATTGAAGTAAATACTGGTGAGATTATTGTAAACGATATTCCTGGGTCTCTGAAGGTTATAACTGGTGATAGTTTCCAGCCTGAACCGTCTAGTATTTCCACAACAAAGAGTAGAAAAAACGCTAAATGACACCAGTCATCTTGGATAAAGAATAAATCACCACGATATACAAAAGGGAAAACTGAGGATGAATCAATTGCAAGTGACTTGCTCAATCAGATGGAAACTGCATTGAAAGATAAAACTCCATCAGAGCTTTTTGAGCAGTTTTATTCCAGTGAAGTCTACTATCTCATTGTAAAAGAAACTGTGCGATATGCAACAGATGTAAAAAACGATCACGATTTCTTGACCACTGCTAACGAAATACGTGTTTTTATCGGAATTTTGCTTCTAACTGGTTATCATTTAAATACCTGCGAACGTGACTACTGGTCAGATGCTGAAGTCATTGGCATTACCCTGGTGAAAAAGAAAAATGCCATGTCACGACACCGCTTCCAAACGTTTGTAAGCCTATACGTTTTGGATATAAACTTTGGGCTCTCTGTGGGAGCAAGGGATATTATTACAATTTTTTCTCTAATTGTGGTAAAGAATCTGATGCAAGAAATGATACTCCTCTTGGTACTCGGGTTGTGATGAAACTAATAGAGAATATTGCGAATCCTTCAAGCTACACTTTATATTTTGATAACGTTTTTACTAGCATTGATTTTTTGAAAAGTCTTGGTGAACAGGGTTTTCGAGCTACAGGAGCTACCATACGAGAAAATCGGATAAACCACGAATCTAAGAAGAACGAATCTTAGAAGAATCTAAGTCTGTGCAGAAGAAAGAAAGATGCACGTCTGATTTTGCATTTGACGAGAAATCTGAGATTTTCCTGGGGCGATAGAAGGATAATAGTACTGTAAATGTTGCTACTAATTTCAGCACTTTAGAAGAATTCTTTGATGTGAAGAGACGAGTGAGAGGACACCGTGAAGATGTCAAATTTGATAAATTCTTACAACAAACATATGGGCGGTGTGGATCACCATGACTGGTTGGCTGGACTTTATTCCATTAAAATTCGTGGCAAAATGTGGTACTGGCCACTTTTTATACGTTCTCTGGATATGACTATGGTAAACGCCTGGATAATTCACAAAACTCTGAACAAAAATGAAGCTCTAAACTTGAAGGAGTTTCGAAGAGCTGTAACAACAGTTTATCTGAAACAAACTGTGATAAGAACAAAAGGCATACAAATACGAATCGCCGTTAGGGGGTTCACAAATTACTAATCCGAGCATTCAATGTGCAAATGCTAGCTACTGATGGTGTAATGGCCTTGAATTTTTAATTATTTATTTACCTGTATATGAGCTTTAAGCGTATTTAATTTCAATAAAAACAGTCACTTTCTGCATGGTGGGGCTTTTTTTCCCCCAAAAAGAGCGTACGTCAAATAAGAATGAAGAAAAAGAGGAGAAAACAAAATTCGATGATTTCTACTAATTCAACAGTTCATTGCACTTCTGTAAAAGTTAGTTTGAGGAAGTTATTTTGTTGGAGAAAAATGTTTACAGTGAAATGGAAGAAGAATACATAAGAAAATAAATGAAAGTTTAAGATATTTTTCCGAATAGATTGTTTAAGGAACAACAAATTTTGTGTCTTTCAAAAGTGTGTAAATAAAGACTAAATATGTACCTTTCCAGTCTGCTGTAAACGTTTATATAATTATGCACTAGTTTCATCTAATACAAATAATTTGTAAACATATGAAAATCAATTTTTCATTTAAAATTAGATGGGATAAAAACTAATTTAAAAAAAAGAAGATCATTTGCTTTCTGGAATCTTACTATGGAAATCTTTTTCCTAATTCCCTGTAATGAAGTAACTTTCGGTTACTTAATTTTATCTGAAGATTAAATTTTCATTTTTATTTTCACTTACGGGAATGTCGGGGACTTCTAATATGACCTGAGGTACGCAGTCTTCCCACAATTCTTTTTCGATGGTGAGGGCTATCTCTTTCCTGAGCTCAGGAGTGAACATGAAACCTGGCTTCAACTTGACAAATAGGACCGCTCTGCATTCGCCATCTTCTTTGCTTTGGTTTACACATATATAATCCATGATCTCTTCCATTCCGTGTACTGTAAGTAAATAAACTCATAACAAACAATTAAGGCAAAACGATATAGGCATTCAGATATTCATTCACACGCCAACTTGAAATACAGTTAAGATTAAATACCCAAAGATATAATTTAATGCTTAAACTTTGTTAGGAAAACTGTTTGATGTACTACATGTACTGTAAGAACTTCAGAAACCTGACGTGCAAAAAAAAAAGTTTTTTCGAATTGTATATTAATTACCGTGTATTATCGTGTACAATTTGAGAAAGTTTAAGGAATCTTTCATTACTGAAGTTTAAAGATCGGTTTACATAAGTTCAAAATGATTTATAGAGATGTTGCATTAAACATCAAAAAAATTATTTAATTTCATATTATATACATTAATCCAGTTTCTTAATGTACATATACAACTTTTCTCAGTTTTTCTAGCAGTTCTCAGTAGTCTCTGCGAAAGGGGTGAAAGTTATCTATTCCATTTTCCTTTTAAGGTCAATTTAATACATCTGGTCGTCCACTATATAAAACGGCGTTTAACTTTTCAAATTGTTGCCACCAAATATTATAGCCCTGCGTTGTATTTTCAGAAATTAAATAATGAAGAATTTTCATGAATATGTTTTTGTTTCTCGCACTGTGAAAAAGTACTATAGGCCGAAACGGGATCATTTATATAATTATTTGTGTTACGTATAATCGGAAATATTGTAGTATAAGTTTAGCAACAGGAGGTTGGGACACAAAAATTTCACCATTTGCTGTACAGATACTACCTGACCCATCACACTAACTGTCCATCTCCGCCCCAGTTATGAAGAGAAATATACAGAGGGACGGTAGAACAAAGTAATATAAATGTATGATATGACTAATATATGCATAATAAAAACTGAAATAGGGTTCACATAATGCAACAGAGCTCCCCGGTGTAAAGGAAGGTGTAATTACTCATAGATAAGTTTTATAAGCTAACATTTACGTTGCATGCATTTTCTGCAACAAATATCATAGGTTCTTTGAAGCAAGAATCTGAACGAAAAGTTACATTTTGATCAATATAATTGTCAATGGTTTCGCAAAGAGTATTCGTCTCATTTCTTCCAAAATCGAACAGTCATATAAAAAGTGGAAACCTTCTTCTTCAAAGCAACCTTTCTGCAGCAATATTTGGCACTTTTTTATCACAGAAGCTTTGGAAATACTATCCGTCTTGCCAAATCTGCATTTTTATTGTTCTTAAGCTGCATTTTCCCAGCATTTCCGAGAGGAATAAATCTGCATTATTCTTTTTTCTCGTATTGCATATTTTGCTGTTTAGTAAGTTTGCTGCCCATTATAACGTAGACCCAAGAAATTTGAAATTTGATTTCCGACTTCATTTATTATACCCGTTGAAGACAAAACTATTAAAAGAAACACTTTCTTCTTAGGTTACGAAACTGAAACCAAATCATACTTTTTTCACATGAAATGACTAGCAGCAGAACACAAATGACACATGTTTAAGGGCTTTATTTCAAAATGGTGAAATCCTTTTTTTATGTTTAAGATTTCGTGTAGGAAAGGGTGATTTAGAAGTATAAGATCATTACAGTACCTAAAATAAATGTTTTCTGTTTGAAATTTTCATTTTCAATCTTAGCAACCGAATTTAAAAGCAAAAACTATTATCTTTGTTTAGAAAAATGCACACTTACTGGCAAAATAAACATCGGCAGGGGCAAACCGGTCTCCATTTTGTACCAGAATTTCATCACTGAAAAAAATTAATACCTAAGATAAAGTAAATGTAAGAATTACGACGCGTGTAATCAGATTAATAGATTATGTTTTTTTTATATTTTCTTTTAATAAAGAATGTAGCATTAAGTCAGATAATTTACATTTTTGCACTGAGAGTATGATAAATAGCAAAAACAAAAGTGTAAAAACTCCTGTAATCATTAAAAACTTCATCTTTATTAAGGAATGAAACCAATCATTCATAAAACAGATACTATTATTATCATTTTTCAAAGCAAATAAAAACTAAGATAAATTAGATTAACTAATGACTCTCATATTGCAGACAACATATGCAATACAATTGGGGAAAACAAAGTTTAAATTTGCTAAAACTAACAGCTATTAAGCTGCGAAAAGAGGAAAAATATCAATTCAAAATAAAACTTAAATCTCAATACCACTTTAAAATGTGTAATTACTGCATTTAGAATTTCAAAAATATAATTTAAATTGAACATTTATGTCAGTTTTAAAATGGAGGCACTTAATGTTTTCTAAAAAAATTGCTTTTAAATCAGTTTAACATATATTTAAAATGAAATAAAATCGCTAACATTATTACCTTGAGTGAATTTTAACTTTCTTTGAAACTTAATACTTCACGTCAAATATTTCAGTTTACTTAACTCTAACAATTATGTTTAGGTTAAACAGACGAATTCAAACTGAGTAGAATTCACCTCTAAATCGAAACAATTAATTAAAACTTTTGTGTTGCATCAAGCGATATTATAAACATAGGATTCACCTTCTTCCAATCACGAGCAGTCCCTTCGTTTCTGGATTTATCCAACCTTCATCATGCTGACACCAGGCACCTGAAAGAAAAGAGAATATTCATTCTATGATAGGAAGGACTGAATTCCAAAATCCTAGGCAGAATAAAGAATTTTTGGGAAGGAAGGAGACAGCCTGCTTCTAATTTTGTATTAATAATCCTTTTTATTTTGCTTTCCTGCCTGGAACATTTAGATGATCAATTAACATGTAAAAAAGTAATTTGTACGAAATTCTCATTGGGGACATTGAGAATACTGGTCACAGACCTACGATATAAATTTTAGAAAGAAACCAAATCGATAGGCTTACTAATTATGATAGTTTTAGTCGGTTGGTAACGGTTAGCAGATATATAGAAAATTTACATTTTAACGAGAGCCGTCTGCAAGAGACATTTATCCTGCATTTAACATTTATCCTAGAAAGGGAATACTAAGGAAAGCTTTATAATATAAAAATATTCTTGATGAAATTGTGACTGGGTTATGACTTAAATTGGTTTAAAACTGACTGGGTTATGACTTAAACTGGTTTAAAACTGACTGGGTTATGACTTAAACTGGTTAAAAAAATCATTCATTTCAGAACTGGAAACCGTGCAAGATATACCCGTGCACAAAATTAAGAGAATTTGCAAATTATGTCTATTAAACGAAAGATATTAAACTAAAATTATGCCGCCAAAGAATTATACTAATATTAAGAGTCGAACGTGTAAGCGTACACAAGTGTGTCTGCGGAGCTGTGATTGTGGAGGTGTAAAAGTGCATGAGAGTTTTTCGGCGATTTTTGCGCACGCATTCTTCCACGACATTTGCCGTGTTTCTCACAACAGGTAGGTAAATTTTATAAAATATCAGGCAAAATGAGTATTCACAAACGTACGGATGCCAGAAGATGTAGAATAAGGCCAATAACAAGCGCAGGTGACTACGGAGCTCAATGTAATATCTGCAGTTTGTGTAAACATATTCAGGACACTGGATTCATATCGAGAAGACCTGGCGTAGATCAACCAAGGTCTACAACAGCGAATGAGAATCGTTACTTGGCACTTTCAGCGAGGCGACACAGCACTGGTACAGTTTCAAAGCTCTCACATGAGCTATATATTGAATCATGGTCTATAGTTGACGAAAGACTACATGAGATCGGGCTGTATCGCCAGAAGACCCGCTGTTTGCGTTCCGTTTAATCCAGACCATAAACGAGCACGCTTAGCATAGTGCAGATAACATGTGCCTTGGACCAGACTTCAATGAAACACTGTGCTTTTTGTAGAGGAGTTTAGATTCAGTCTGGACACTTATTCTCGGCATTCCTGTATCTGGAGAGAATCTGGAACACGATATGACCCTTCCCTCATCAAGGAAAAGATCAGTGCAGCGTTGGAAGTGTAAGAGTTAGTTCAGACACTATGTTGGACAGCTGCACAATCCTGTATGTGCTAATATGAGATTAAGGCTCCCTCACTACTATGAGTAGGGCTTGATAAAGCTCGATGATTTGAAGCTCGGTTAAACTCGAGCTCGAGCTTGATTGTTTTTTCGGGCTTTCGAGCATTTGAAGTTGACATACTTGCATTACCAAAAGACTTATAATAGACTTATAATTAAAATATTTTTTAGAAATTTAAAAGAAACTTTTTCTTTACTTATACATTTATTTATGCATTTATATTAATGCAAAAATATTTTAAAAACACCAGTGCATCTAGTGATTAATCTGATAGCTTCAAACTAATTTTGGTGCAAAAATTGTTGGCCACGGAAAACGCCCTCTCAGAATTAATCGACGTTGGTTTTATACTGTAAATAGCTTCAAGTAACCGCTTTAAATTTACAATCAATTCATCATTACTTTTTGGCAAAGTAAGTTCTTAACTTGATTTTTTTAAAGCGGTCACCTTCCGGTAATTTGCCAGTTGGAGCTTCTAATAGTACTCTAAGTTGTTCTTCAAGAGAAGCACCAACTTTGGTAGCTGTTTCTGCTTCTCTCTTCAAAGGGCAGAAGCACCAACTTTGGTATTTGTTTCTGCTTCACTGCTTGATTTTTCATTTGATGAATTTGGTGATGAATCTGGTGACGGAAATAAATGCTTTATCAAAGCAGCTGCTAGTTCTATAGAAGCTTTTGATGGCGTTTTATTTTAAGTTGTTTAGTGAATTCATCAAATCTATGATGTTTTTGTTGATCCTGCTATTGATGTAAAAATCGATATTCTCAGAAAGAGAACTACTTATTTCAGATTCTTGTTCAGTTAACTTCTCTCGCATAAAATTGATAGAAATATATGCTGTTCGTACAGTGGCTTGTTTTTCACTCATAGCGTTATCTGCCACTTCAATTGGTTTTAACGCCAAGACTATCGATTTTATTATTTCCAGGTTTAAATTTGTTAAAAGACGTTCAAATCCAAGTTCAATGAGTACATCCTTTGTAACGTCATACAATTTTACAAATGTTTCAAGCAATTTCAGCATTGAATTCCATTTGGTTTTACAATTCAGAGAGAGTTGTTGCTCTATCTGTGATTTTTCTCAATTTTTAGACTTGAACAAATCTGAACGCACAATAGAATTTTTGAAAACAATTACGACTTGTCTCACAATATTTATGTTTTCCTTGAACGATTCATTCTGTAATTCAGTTTCATTAATGCTGAAACCATTATCAACATCATTAAAATCATCAGTCTCTAATGAACTTTCCTCTGTCCCTGATTTTTCTCTATAAAAGGATTTTGTAACAGCCAAATGCAAGGTATGCGCAGGATATGTCTGATAAAAAGCAGGTGAGTCTTTTCCGAACTTGATCATAACACTTGCTCCATCCCCAGTACAATACAATATCGTGCTTAAATGATAGGCCGAAATATTCAAGGTGCTCTTCTACAAGTTTTTTTTTTTTTTTTTTTTTTTGCATCGCAACTTCCAAAAATTCTTACCAGTCCAAGATTGATGCTTTTTTGGAAGAAAGTATGCAGATTTACATTCAGGAATCTCCGGTTACCGATGCTGGTCCATTCATCCATGGTAATGGAGAATTTCTTTGATTAGGCAATATCTTTTTTAATATCATTTTTTTTTTTTTTCACAGTTTCCATATGGTTATGAACAAGAGCCATTACAGATTTTTCGTTGGCTGGAAGCTTCATATGCCTTAAGGCCAATGTTTGTCGAATAAACTCTGACTGAGTGATTTGACGAATTGATAAACCATCTACTGCAGCCATTTTTGCAACAATCTCTTCAATTGATGTTTTGATTCGAAATTATCCAAAGTTTTTGTGTTTTTAGCTGGTACCTTTGCTTTGTCAACGTCAATGTTACGAACGCTGCTTAGATGACGACGCATTGTTGACGTATTTCCATTTAAAATGGAAATTTTTTTATTGCATTCACTGCAGCCTGCATAATTTTGGTCTGCCTTGGCGAAATGACTCCAAACGGTTGATCTTTTGTTTTTCGGCATGATTACTATTAATTCTAGAAAAAAATAGAAAATACTATTCTAGAATATGCCTGTATTCACGGCTGTACCTCCAATAATATTAACCATTTTTAGCGAAATATTGTTAAAATTTCGACTAAATTTGTGTTGCGATATTAGTAATCGCATTCTTGTTGGTTAAAAGGAAGTATAGTTTTCTGTCACGTCCGATGCATTAGCTTTCTGTCAGGTCCGAAGTATTCCGAAGCTTAATCCCGTTCTATTTGTTTATGATTTATTAAAACATGATCTGCTTGTATCTCTGTATTTCTGATCATGTCTCTGTGTGTATTTGTTTGCGTATTACTCTGTAATAAATGTTTGTTTTGCGAAACACGGCCTTTTCAATGTTCAACAATTTGTAATTTTGTTTTTTTAATGATACTAAGAAAATCATTGTTTAATATTACATACACGTTACTACTTAAAATTAAAAGTATATTGTTTCTATCGGTAAAGATTAAAAATCCTTGCATTTTTATGTACTGTACTGTATATACTGTAGGAGGCAACAAATTCATCTCTTTACCAAAATAAGTTTCAACACTGTTCAGGTAAAAGTACTGATAAAAGCATTATTTTACTGTTTATATTTATAATCCTTTTATTCTTTAGCTTTACTTATCCCTAATACAATTAAAAAAGTTTTAGTTTTTATGTATTTAAAAAGGAGCAGTTTTATGACACCAATAAAATGTCTTCTAGAATTCTTAAGTAATATGTTAACAAATAAATTAAAAATAAAATATAGAACGTAAAACATTTTGTATGTACAAAGCTCGAAAGCCGGTCGGGCGTTGATTCGAGTATCGAGTACTCGAAAATGACCAAAATTTATCGAGTATCAAGCTCGAGGCTAAGCTCGTTCCAAACTCTAACTATGAGATATAGGGAAGATAGAGTCTTATGTTCGAGTTTTCAGGCGCACAGTTGGTCCTAGGTTCCTGTTAATGGATGACAATAATCGTCTACATTGGGTTCAGCTGGTCGACGATTACGTGGGAAGTGAGGATATTCGCCGCATGGATTAGCCAACCAGATCTCATGACCTTACCCTACAGAACATGTTTTGGCAGGACAATTTCATCTCGCCGTCCCCCTCAGAGGACCATCCCAGAGTTGAAAATTGCCTTTTTGCAGAAGTGGGATCGACTACCCGAAGGTCTCCTCGACTGCCTCCTGTCGAGTATACCGTCACGCTGCTCTGCCTGTCTGGCTAAGAGTGGAGACCATACCCCATATCATATTCTTTTTCAGTTCGATATCACGAAGTGCATTTTGGACACCCCTTCACAATGATTTTCACTAATAGTCATCCGTACATAAAATTACTTTTGAATGGTACAACACTTTCTGTTTTAAATGTAGATTCATAACAAATTTCATTAAAATTTCTCCATTAGTTTTTCAGAAATTCGACATAATGGGCAATTTCTCTTAGTTTTGCACATGAGTATAGATAAAACGTTTATAATTTTGGGAGTTTTGAAACGAAAAGAACAAACAAAGAAAGATTTTTAAGTGAACCGAAGAATTAAAATAGTGCGTCGTGAAAGAAAACGGCAGCCGCACCAGTAGTTCTGATAGCCGGAGAATCATGACATATCAAGATATGGGATTTATGTTCAAGAAATCGGTACTCGGGTTGCAAGATATGGGATTTCTGTTCAAGAAATTGGTACTCAGATTGCACAGAACTACATCGTGTTGCAGTGATGCGAGTATGTAATCCATAGAAAGTAGAGAAAATTGCAATGGCCCTTTTAGAGCACTGAATGAGATTTCATGCGCGCATTGCTATTATGGAAGTACTTCAGCTCAAGAATTTAAGCATGTTGATGCCTCAGCTTAAAGTATGTTGAGCAACAACAGGTTTTTTTATATGGTGTTCTTCAATATCGTCTACAGCATCAGGCTTCTGCATCACCTTGGAAGACATAAATGTAGATACGAATGAGCATCGTCTTTAAAACCCTATCTCTCTTTTATTTGCACTTTCATGATGGTCGTAACACACTCTACTAGATGACAATGGCAACAATGCTAACAAGTATTCTGCATTATTTATCGTCTCAAAAGTCCGGCAGTACTGTTATGGAATGTCGGTAGTTTCTAATATTAGTTCCGGTCAGGCTACAGTTGTAGTTATCCAGGATGTCTTCAGTTTTTCTGTCTATGGCGGATAGACACTATTATTTCTGTGTACACCAGAACTATTAACCATTTTTAGGGCGTCAATGCAGACCTCAATGAATTATTTGCAGTTCTTCAAACGAGCGGTTTTACTTTCTTAAGGACATGGAATGTGCATGTCTGTAGGTATCTTCGTCAAGACCTCAATTCCTTCCTTCCATGATCATTCAATAAGTGAACGGGCAGTAACATAAAAATAATTTCTGAAACAAGTTTGCTTATCAGATATTCAAATTTTCTATGGTGACCGATAAAATTTTCTGTCTAAATATTATAATAGTTTTTTTTTTTTTTTTTTTTCCAATTCTGTTTTTATGTAGTAGAAATGAAGATATCGAATGTTACGCACTTTTACATCGGTTGAATTCCAGCAATCCTGCAAAAGCTGCGATAGCTAACGGTCTACTAAGGCTTGCTTCCAAAGATGGGATGATGTTTAAATCTGTTAAAAAGGCTGCTAAGTTTTATAATGTTCACGTGAATTTATAATGGAATTATTGGCATTAACCTGCGGTAATTTCTCTTGTGGAAGTTAGTAGTACAGACAGCTGTTTATTTAGTTAGAATGACAACAGGTACAAGTTCAGTATATATCATTTAAAAAACTAAATAAATATGTGTTTTATACATTGCCATTATTTATCCCTTTTCAAAGATCAAGTTATCTATCGTGACTATTAACGCGCCATTTTGGGGGGGGGTCAAGGATTATTGCACACCTTACTTTTGAAATTAGAAAAAGTGAATGTTGCTCCGTTAAAGCTGGTACCAAAACTTTATCATTTCTTTCAAAATGTGATAGGATAACACATAAATAGTTTTTAATTTTATATCCATCTTTGCAGATACTAAACTCGCTTATCAAGAATTTAGCGAAGTTACATAAAACTAAGACGAAAAACTAATGAATATATTCTAATGCCATATGTATCCATTTTTAACGCAAAATCTGCAATTTTTATTAGTCAAAATCATGTATTTGCGTTTCGAAATTTGACGAAACCATGTATTTGCTTAACAAAATTTGTCCTGGAACATTTTTGTTTTTGAAAAATATTCCACGGGAAGGAATCTAATTTTTATATATGATTCAGTTCGTAAATATTAATTATTTTATTTGTTTGCTCTTTTTAAACTTTCCTAGACGTTTTGTACTCTAAAACATTTGCCATTTGGAAGGCGATGCGCTTAGTTCTATGAGTAAGAGTGCAAATAAATGGCTTTCAAATAGCACGATAGCTGGAGAGATAGAAATACAATAAGACTGTTCCTCAGGTAAAGTCTGAATTGTTTAGATTAGTAATGTCAGCATATACTTTGATTAAGGAAACATAAAGGTACAACAACACAGACCTTGTTTTAATATATAAGAAGACGCTCAACTTGATTCGACTTCAAGTTTGACTATCTTCTCAGAGCAAAGTATGGGAACGTTCAGTGTATAAAAACTAGTATTAATTGACAGAGATATTGTTCTAACACAAGTGCTTTCAACGATTCATGAATATCGGCTATAACTGTGTCGAATAAAAGCGCTTCTGCTAAAATCAACATCAATCAAAGTCCGTTTTCTTGCAGTCAGTTTTATTTGCCGTCCAGCTGGTATGGTGGTTACTGACCCTGACTGTCATAGCGATGGTCCCGGATTCAAATCCCGGGAAAGGCATGTTTGCAACTGTTCACTTCATAGGAGACAACGGTGGCCACTTATTAAGTGCTTCCATAATGAAATGGCCACCAGTTTCAGCCCTTGTAGTGGCGCAAGGCTATTAATAAAAGGCCCAGCCAATTCAAAACAAAAGTCTTACTTGTCATGTCTTTCTATAACATTTTCCATCGGAATGTTTAGAAAAAAGGAAAACTTAAATTCTTTTTAAGAAGAAAAACTAATATTATGTATGACGGACATTCAAATTATTTAAAATTCAAAAACTGCTTGTTAGGCATAAATCATCAATTTCAACATTGAGAAATCTATTAAACTTCAACAACTGAATTTAAAATGTTATTTTACCTGGATACTTAGAGAGATATATTTCCTTTATGAGGTTATTATTGATATCCTTCCACAAGTAAAGAGGAAAACCTGGAAATGGCGTTGTAAATATTATTTCGCCCTTCTTACCAGTTATGGTCTGACCTAGGAAGAAAAGTTTAAAAATCTCGTATAATTTCAATTCGTAAAAGTTATTCAACTCTTATACACATAATCTTAAGGCAAAAAAGCAAATTTGTAATAACCGGTTAGCTAAAAGTTAGTTAAAAAAAATTTTAAAATGTATGTAAAAATAAGACAATAAATTAAAATCCCTCCATTTTGATGTGAATACCGCATAAGGGTTTCCGTTTTACACTTATTTAGAAATAAATCTAGGATTTTATGTACTTAAAATACACCAGAAAGCAACCTTAACAATTGACCAAAAGTAAGACCGGTTTTGGATTAACGCTGTTTTAATAACATTTTTCATATGACTGCTGAAAAAAGGAATTTCCTAAGTATTAAAACAGTTATACACATTATATTCTAAACTGTATATCCTTATTAAATATTAATTGCAAGTGAAATCTGCTGATATTCTTTTAGGAAGTATATAAATGTCCTTATTAAGTTTATAAGATATTTTCTCCGTCCTTTCCACATGTCATTCTCTACGCGTCTATTAACTGGAAGCATAAAAGACGCGTATTCCGAAGGTCCGGAGTTCGAGTACCGGTGAAGGCATTGCATAGTTTTCACGTATCAGAATCGATATAACCTAATGACTCTGCAAACTCGTCAAAATGTTATATTCAGGAAGAGCTTTTTATGATATCTTCAGAAACATTAGTTAATATAATCCGCTTATTATATATTTAAATCCCTTGTCCTTATATACCTCTATACTCTTATATATTCCGTTATCTTATATAACGTTGTACTCTTATAGATTTCACTGTCTTACATTCGGTTATGCTCTTATAGTATATTCTGTATTTTATATGTATATTCCGCTTTCTTACATGCCGCTATATTTTTATATATTACGCTTATTATACTATATTCTTCTCTCTTATATAACCGCTATACTCCTATATATTCCCCTTATTACATATTCAACTGCCTTATATACCATTACACTTTTATAAATTCCACTTATTATATATAATCCGCTCTCTCATATACCGTTATGCTGTTATAAATTATGCAAATCTTTTCTGTTTTAAGCTCATTAGAACAAAGGAATTATCCCACAAGACATGTCTTAAAGAAAAGCAGTTTCGGTTTCGACATATTAAAAACTACAATAATATTCTTCGAACAATTTTTAGGATAATTAAAACTAAATGTTTTTCATTTTATTATTATTATTATTATTATTATTATTATTATTATTATTATTATTATTATTATTATGCAAAATGACAACACTAGTTTATAACGATGATTCTCATTCAAAATTAATTTTATACCATACCTACAAAACACTAAAGTTCTGCTGTAAAAAGTTTGGTGAGAAATATTTTTGAAATTCTTATGCTGCTAGAAAATTTTCAACGTGGATCCAACAATCGTCACCAAAACAGTAAATTAATCATCATCATGGTTTTACTTTTCGTTCTAGCAAAATGTCTTCCTCACAGTCTTTTAACAACGTAATTGACAGCGGCAATGATTAGGCAATGGAACAAAACGACATCAATGAAAATAATAGTTTAGGTTACTTGAATACTACCAAGCACACGAGAACTATTTGCTTAAGCGGAAACCTTTTGTGCTTGCTTTATAGCTAATAAGAAAGATTCTTGGAGAAAAGTGTAAGACGTTAGATTTCCTAATTTTTATAAAACTGATTTCATTAAGTTTAAAAAAATGCTAAAACATAAATCTTCGCGTCATTTAAAATACTTTTGTAATTTGAAGTATATGGCTACGACCAACGGTTGCGAAAGTAAAGGCGGGTAAGGACTTTTGTGTATCAAAGTGTATAGTATACATACAGTGGCTCGAACAATTGAGAATACATCTTACTCTTACTTGATAAACCTAACTTTCAACATAAGTAGCATATGACCAAGAAGCGTAAGCACGTTTTTATTTTTACTCATAACAAATAGTTTAGTTTTGTTTAGTTTAAAGTGAAAATAAAGAACAATCAACCGAAACATTTTTAAATGAAAAATTCAGAAGCATTTTAAATAAACTTATGCAAATTCTTGCTTCAAAAAATTAAGAATACACCAATGGAATTTTTGTGATATGTCCCATAAAAATTGTCAATATTTTTTTGCATGTTCTTTAACTTTTATAATCTCTTCCGAACATCGTTGTACTTATTCGACCAACCTTTTGGTCGTATACAAAAATATTTTATCCTATTTTTCTTGCAACACTTGCTTGAAGTGCCTTTTGTTTTTTATTTTGTGTTTTTAGACCTCTATTTTGAGTGTGACCCACAGTTTTCTATGATATTGAGGTCTGGGGACTGCGTTAATGTGTGTAACTGCTGTTTCCAATGAAAAACGACAACACACTTTGACGTTACTTGCCATGTGTTTAGGGTCATTTTAGTGCTGGAATGTGAAATTTCCATTTAAATCTAACTTTTTAGCACTTTCTTTTATATTATTGCTGAATATATCCAAGTAAACCATATGATTAATAATGCCATCTATAAAAACTAAATTTTCTGTCCCAGTTGAAGCCACACAATTCCAAACTATGACGGAGCATGTTTAACTGTAGGACGTAAATTGTTTGGATGCAAAGCGGTGTTGGGCTTTCTCCACATGGTGCGACGACTGTCACTGCATAAAATGTTGAATTTACTTTCATCAGTAAATATAATATATTTACAGATGAAAGTAAATTCAACTTTCTTCCAAAATTCATTCGTCTTCAATTGATGAGTTTTTGCAAGCTCCAAACGCTTTTTCTCAGTTTGCAAGCTTATGCATAGTTTCTTTCTAACTTTTACATCCAGCTTGTCTAATTAAATTTCGCACAGTTTCAGCACTTACACTTCTGCCAATAATTTGAGAAGTTTCTGCAGCAAGTTTGACTGCACTTTCTTTAGGATCAATCTTGATATCTTACAAAATTTTCCTTAGGAGGTCATTACTCAGAGTACCTTTTCTTCCACTTCCGCCTTTATTTTCAATCACTTAATTAGAAATAATTGTAAAATAATTGTAAAATATTAAAATTATTTTCTGGACACACATGTGATTTCTATCAACAATTTGATCTATTTCACCTTTTATCTATTACCTACCAACAATTTTATCTATTACCTTTTTTAGTCAACCTTAGTATGAATTCCTTACACCAATACTGCTTTCTCTTCGAGGAACCATTTTCTGTTTAAAAGTGTGGCTTTCAATTCATATAACAAACTTCATCACAAAAGCGAAAAGATTTAAGGTAAGATTACGCAACATTAGATTAAAATAATAGGCACGTAGAAAAAATATAGTGGTAGTTAACAGGTTTTTTTTATTGGTGTATATAAAATACACCAATAAAATTTATTTTTATTGCTGTATTTAAAATGCTTCTGAAAAGGTTTTCATTTTAGGAATTTTTTTCTTTGATTGTTCTTTATTTTTACTTTAAACTAAATCAAATCTTATGAGTAAAAATAAAAACATGTTTCCGCTTCTTGGTAATGTGTTATTTATATTGAAAGTTAGATTTAACAAGTACGATGTATTCTCAATTCTTTTAGCCACTGTATATATATATAGAGAGAGAGAATTTACCAACTGAACAGAAGCTTACCATTCTCATCAACTACACGAACATCCATTCCAAGAGCAGGCACTTGAAGTTCTCCAGCGTAAACAGGCAAATTCATGTCGGCCCCTGTGAAACATCCAAATGTTTCAGTAGCTCCTAAAATATACCAGATGTTTTCCATTAGCGATAACTGCCATAGAAATGGTTTCATATTAGGTCAGGATCATTTGACATTATATATATATATATGTAAGATAAAAATATATGAATCAGAATCATAATATAACTATAAACATAAATTCTTCCTCTCTATTCTAAAATTGTAATAACTTCTTTGCATTGCGTCATTTCTAGATCACTCTATGATCGGCGCAGCTCTGATGACGTAATCATTGGGAACTGAAACTGTCCTTGTAAACCAAAACTTTCCTCTTCGCGTGCCTCCATCTTGCATAACGATGCACTTCAGCTTTTGTTCTGTGCTGTGCTAAGATGTAATTTCGCTGGCTTGCTTTCTATCTCAACAATATCAAAAATGAAAATCTTCTGTGGAAAGGCACGACTAGAGTGCCAAGTGATTGTGGCCACAAATATCAGTTGGAAATAAAAATGGAATTAAAACTGCCTCGACTGCCAAGTTCTTTAAATACTACGCAATCAAAATTCTTCTTCAATATGGATCTAATCACGCATCCACAGTGTTCCGGCTTTTCCTTGTGCTTTTATTATTACATATATATATATATATATATATATATATATCTTATTTATCCACTCTGTTACTCGGTTCAGTGAGCTCAGTTTCTTTATATGTTTGTAAATTGTGCATTTTTTGCTTTAAAAAATGATTGAATTATGCTGTTCCTATCTTATGGTTAAGGTTTTTATGCCTTTAGTAAATCTAAATATGCAATATCTGTGGAGTTATCAACAGTTTAAAAGTTGTTTAAGTGCAGCTAAGCCTAATGGATTTTGCGATGGCGGACATGTTTGTTTACATTTCAAACTTGACAAAAAGCGGATTTGTTGCCAATCTAGAGAAACTAAGCAACACAGATAACGCCTCCTTTTATATTACGAATTAAATTATGCTTAGTCCATTCTGGAATTTATTCGAGCAAATAAGTGTTTCAGATTTACTTCGTAATTTTTAATATAGATATTTTGAGTTTTTATGTGTTTTTGCCTTATCGGAAAGTGAGAACTGGAGTAACTGAATGAGAAATACTGAATCGTCTGCGAAAAACTGTTTCTTTTTTGTTTTGTTTGCTTAATTTCTTTTATATATCGTTTTAGATTTATTTTAGTATTTGAATAGAGCATGTGGCAACGATTAGATAATTCTTCAAATGATACAAATTTATATGCATTCTGAGCTATAATATGGACAAAATATAACGTTATTAAGTGAACGTAGAGCCAGAGTGTCGCTATGGTAAACAAATATAGTGAATTTTAAAGAGTTCATTTATTCTATTGTGGTTTATGCGCTGTCGACGAAGTATATTTAATTTAATCCAATAAGTTTAAATGAAATGCAAGAAAAAATGCATATAATTTAATATTCTGTGCAAGGAAGTCATGTGGTGTACACATCAGATTTTTTAACATTTTGCCTGTTACCTTTATTTATTAAATATCACGTTCTTCGATAAAACGATAAAATTCAGTTGAAGAGCAACATCGCAAAATAGTTTTAATTTGAGCATACCCTTTAGAATTTCCGATAAGCAGTCTCACGCGCTGGAGATAAAAATGTTTTTTCCGTACGACGTTGCCATTGCTTGCTTTGAAATACTTGAGTTGTTAATCAAAAATTCGTTAAAGTTTTACAAAATGTGAAATCGATAAAAAACAAATTCCAAATTTCTAATTTGGGCTTCCACATGCCCATATTCGCAGTAGGATTACGTCATTCAAAATTCGATGGCCCTATGTACCGTTGTTTTATATCACAGTGCGAGAAATATACTTACATTTATGCAGATTTCTTCAAATATTTATTTAATTTCTTCAAATATAATGCAGGACTCTCTAACATTTGGTGGCAACAGTTTGAAAAGTGAAACGGACATTTATAATGAACCAACGCAAAATCGCTAAACGAGAACAATAGTCCTTCAGCAACAAAGTCCCTTAGGACTAAAAAGAGTTTACTTTATGGAATAATTTGCTAGTACCCAAGAATTTCCTTTTCTTTGAGTGTAGTAATTAGTAATTTAATTGCATAATTAATACCATTAACTCCATCACTTCTTCTGCAGGATTCGCCACTATACTTCCGAATGAATTAATTGATTTAGATTGTTTTTCCACGCTTATTATTGCATTCAGCGTCTAAACCAATCGCCTTAATTCGACAACTAAGAACGCAGTTCAAACGAAAACCGAGTATTTGTGCTTAATCTTTCTTAATTGGACAAAATTACGTTCTCTAATTATATTGTTTTCAACAATCTGAAAATAGTTAATTATTCATTTCGAAATTTTAAAAAATCCATATTAAATGCCAGATTGGAGCTTCTTTATTATTATGATCCTGTTACGTAGATAGCACAAATTACCATTAAGTTTTAATTAAAGAATGGAGACGAGAAGCTTGTTTACATCTCGCATACAGTTTGTGGTTGCCATACCTTCGCAACTACTTTTAGTAGCGAAATATTTTTTTCTTCCCTAGGACGTGTGCCTAGGGACCCATAAACTTTCGCCTATAAACCTATATTATCTCCCTTGTTAATAGACTGGGGACGGGGTCACTTAATGTCTAACATAAGCAGGTGTTTGTCTCACGCCTTCTCCAATCCAGAACAACAGCTCCCAGGGACAATAAGAGATCCGCCCTTAGGAGTATATATATTTTAAGCACAAGATCTTGCCTAGCTATTGGCTTTTACACTCATGTCCATAAATTAAGGATAATTCGGAGTCACGCGGAAATCGAACTCTAAAATAAATATATCACCTGTAAAATCACTACACGCATCTTCAAGAATCATATGCAAATTTCAGGAAGTAACCAGATGACACCGATGGTACGTCACAATGACGAGAGTGTAAGAGAGTGATATATAAGGAATACAGGCAAAGAAGTAAAATTGTTCGCAGGCGCTTTATAAGCATTTCAGTGCAATAACCGAATAGTTATGATACAGAGGACGCATTTGGATGATTTTTTATGTGATAGAATTATCGGCCGTCTGTAATGTGGCCGTACCCAACTGGAAGTATCAGACGAACTTGGAATTGCCCAGAGTGTCATCTCCAGGCTTTGGCAACGATTCCAAGATGATGGTAATGTGAGTAGACGTTACAGCACAGGTCGCTTCAGAGTTACAACGCCAAATGAGGACCGCTATTTGGCAGTTACTGCCAAAAGAAACAGGCGGAGCACAGCCTCAGACCTGTCTCGTCAGCTCTCTTCAGCCACTGGTACGACAATTTCACGGCAGACCGTGTACAGACGCTTAGGGCAAATTGGTCTATATGCTCGTAGACATGTTAGATGAGTTCCACTTACTGAAACTCACTGTCTCCTGCGGTTAGCCTGGAGTAGAGAGCATGCATAGTGGACATCGCAACAGTGGTCTTGTGTGATGTTTTCCGACGAGTCCAGGTTTAGCTTGCAGTCTGATTCTCGCCAGATTTTCATATGGAGAGCTCCAGGTACCCGGTAGCACCAAGAAAACATCATTGGACGACACCGTTACGGTGGTGCAGGAGTGCTCGTTTGGGGTGGAATTATTCTGGGTTCCAGAACTGACCTGCATGTTCAAATTGGAACCATTACAAGCCAAATCTATCGGGACGTCATTGTGTAACAACATGTACGTTTGTTTTGGGGCGCCATGGGCGTACAATTTGTGTTTATGGATGATAACGCCCGTCCTCACCGTGCAAACATCGTAAGCGAATGCCTTCAATCGGAGGATATCACCGGTATGGACTGGCCAGCATTCTCACTGGACATGAATCCAGTAGAGCACGTGTGGGACATGCTTGGCCGACGAGTAGCAGCCCGTCAACCTCCTCCTACATGTCTACCGGAACTTCAGAGAGCATTGCTTTTTGAATGGTGTAATATCCCCCAAGATCAGATCGATAATTTGATACTCAGCATACCTAGGCGTTGTACGGACTATATTTCATCGTCTGGGAGACATACAATGTATTAACAATCATACCAACCATGTAATATTGGGTTTTTGTAAATAGGGTTTTTTTTTTTTTTTTTTTTAATTTGTTCCATGTAGAAAAAATCGCTAATTTTTTTAATAATATCAGACATATAGCATCTTTTTTTTTTTTTTGCTTTTTACCTTTTGTTTAATAAATACGCTTTACAAATAAGTCAAATTTGTTTTGCTTCTAACTCTTCCTTTGCCTGATTTTGCATTATCCTTAATTTATGGACATGAGTGTATATTGGTAATAGTAGCTTTCGTAGTATAGAGTGGCATCCCCGGCATTGTTAATGAACTGCGCCCAAAACTTCAACCCTATTCTCGTTGTGTACAGAATAATAGAGACCATAGTTAGGACTGCCAATCATTTAGTGACAGTTTGCGATGTATGTTGGTGGTATCTATATAATGGAAGCTGTAATAAAAAGGAAGTACCGGTATATTTTATTTTAAATGAGATTCCATTTTCAATTATGTAAAATTTGTACGGGTTTTTTACCGCTTTTAAATAAGATTATGCTTCCGTTGCCACTGTACATAAGTTTATCATAATAAATAAAAGTATCGCTATATCGCTACTTTTCAAAAGTCGCAATAACTAATACACAATTTATAGTTTTGGAATTTGGAAGATAAACTTGTAAACGATATAAAGAAAATTATGTAATATTTGAATGCAAAATTATGTTGCTTGATATAGCCTACATATTCATGAATAAACTTTATGAGTAATTCAGATATAAATAATACATATGTAGGATTATACAATAATATATTTAATTATGCTTACCGTATAAAATACCGACGAACGTATCCTCGCCAGCTACTCTTTGGACAAACTTGAGATTCTGAACTTTGACCGGACTTCCTCCCATAAGCACTGCTTTCAAACATTCTAAATTAGAACCTGGGCCTAGAAAGATATGAATGCTACAGTCTCCTTATTGATTATAAAATACATTCACAAATAAAAGTCAGCAATGTTTAAATTAGTGTTGACACATGGGCAGTGTTTGGAAAGATAAATCATCGTGCTGAGGCATAATGGTGCTCCTACACTTATGAAGTTTATTTTCTTACTTGAACACGCCAACCTTCACGGAAGTGAAAGTACCTTAGTGCTGAGGTATCAATGTGCAAGCAGAAGCTGCGTTTCCTTGTAAATCGGGAACAAAGAACTAATACTTCATTTGCATAGTGGTGACGCAGAAAAAAAGGTGCCCGTATTTTATTTTATTTATTTATTTTTTTTTTCTTTTTTGCCTTTAATAAGTTGGAAATTGATATCCATCAGCCTTTTATTGCGGGGGGGATACTCTTATGACCGTTCTTTTCAAACAGTTATCAACTTGTATAAGGGTGCCTGCATCTTTATGACAGAGAACCGTTGCGCAGTGGTCCCATTTTCTTTAAATGTAACCTAGATATGGGCTAGTGATGCCTAGAATGTAATTGCCGTAGACAAATAGGCCTTCTGATAATTATTATAATCAAATAATCCAAGCTTCTTAGTTATCATAATCAAGTACAGTGTATTCTCGATTATTTGTGTGCGAATTATCCGGCTTGAAGATCATCTGTGCGTGGCGGTTCCGACTCACACAAACACACAACGCTATGCGCCTAGTGCATCAGAAAAAAAAAAACACGTGCAAGTCCAAACATGAGCTGCTTCTTTAAGTTAAATTTCAAACATTAGTTCGTACAATTCGTCCATTATCATTATAATGGTAATGATAATGGAGAATAATCATAGAGCCACTGCTTACCTGTGGCCTAAACCTCTTCCCAGCTCTAATTAAATAAATTTCCTTTGCAAAAAAAGTGAGTTTTATTTTCATTTCATCAGAGGATTCTCAATAGTTTCTTAATCCTTGCCAGAAGAAACTTCCCTCAGAACTTGCTCATGGCCTCTTGGTCAAGCAAAGACATCAGATTCTTCAATGATAAGATAACAGTAAGAAATATGGGATCTTTTCCATTGCAGAACAAACCTGTGAAACAATTTTCGACAGAAAGATATATGCATAAACGTTGGCTTTTGGTCACCATTAAATTGAAAATGTTATTCGCAATTCTTTTAAAATTATTCATGCTTTCAAAGTAGAAAAAAGATTAACTATTATTATTTATTTATATTGAAATAACTAAATGTTTAAAAATGTTTTAGGTCTTTAAGTGCTATAGATGTTTTTAGTGTTTATGTATTCTTCTTTTTATGTGTATATTTCATGCGTGTTTATGCTTTGTTTAATGCAAAAACAAGACTACCCCACTCACAAATGTACATCAAAATTCAATGTAGCACAATGTCGCCCCTGTATGGCCATGTTTAATCTGAATGAAGTATCAATTAGCTCCCGGTGCGACCTTGTGCGGCTCCAGGGAATTGTTGCATCTGGATAGTGGAGGGCGTGGGACATATGCCAGCTTACCCCTGTTAAACAGCAGGCGTCCCCGTCCTCCGTCACCTGTCACCTATATTGAAATAACTAAGCTGAGAGATACATTTCTTTTGCTTAGAAAACTTTAACATCAGTGAAAAAGAGTTGATGACGAAAGTATATTTTTCTCGCTTTATCAAATTGGCGAGTGTATTTCACTCAAAATAATTATTTGAGCCGTGTTATGATAGATTCGAAATATCTTTATTTGTTGAGTGTGTCGCATTTATGACCCATTTTGTGGTTTTAAAAGGAGTTTCTCGCATATATGCGTTTCCAGTTGTACAGTCTCCTGGGCAGTTAACAATGTAATTAAGGAACCCTAATTTATACCTCACCTTCTTTACATGCGCATTAATGTATTCACATGAGCGTTCCTAGCAAAAAATGTACCTATGTATATAAGAAAATGTTGTCGAGTGCTGCCTGTATGCAAATTTATTGCCTGCAAAGTTTGATTCATTATTTAATGTGATTTGCACCTACATATAACAGTTCAATCAAAATTATTTTCGTGATTTTCTTAAAAGCATAAAGGAATATTCTGAATGTCTTTGACAGCTGTGCATGGAATAGGTTTAAATTTTCTATTAATGATACATTAACTTACGGGAATAAGGAACAAAAACTTACCAAGCAATGAATACTGACTTACTTGGTAAAATTTGAAATTTTTCTAATTTATCCAGCATACTGGGTAAAAATGGACAGTAATTCACTTTGTATTTGGCAATTAAATCCCATACGTTGATTCCATCTCTCACCCAAAATGGGCTGCCACAGTACAAAACTAACTTTATACCTAATGCTAGGCTTGGAATGAAGCAGTCCCACATTGACCAACCAACCTGATGTGCATAAAAGAATAAATTTTGATTACATTCATGTTAATATAATACATATGCAACACAGTGATATTTAATGGGGAAAAAGAAAGATTTATAAATTAACAATGCAATATTTGAGATCAAACATGGATTTTATTGCAGAATGGGATATTGAAAGGATTCTTTCTCGAAATTTAGAAAAATTAAATTATAGAGGCTTCTTAATAATTTAAAAATTGATTGTGCAAAACATTAATAAAACATTGTTTTCATTCATATTTTCAATCATTTAAACAAGTACAAACATCAATGAATGACTTTTCATTTCATCTACGATCAGCGCAGCATGAAGCTATTGTCCGTCTGGCACCTAATTTTAGCTCTAGGAGAATAACTTATTTTAAATAATTCTAAACATATTTCGCAACCCGTTAAATTTAGTGCTCTGGGAAGCCGCCCATACACCCCTACTCTTATCTTCGTTGTCTCCAATATAACGTGAAACATAGTGAAGTTCACTGTACATTATAGCACAGAAAATTTAAAATATTAAAGATTGTTACATAGGGTATTAAACCCACAAATTAAATAGCCACTCATTTTTATTACATTAAAAACTATCAAAATAATTCTATTTTCGTTTTGCTACCCCTCATTATTTTACCAAATTACCGCACTATTTACTTTTACATATGCCAGTATTCTTGTTAGATTATGACAAAGGCCTCTTAGAGTTATGCTATTTATTTAATACATTTCTTAGGCACTTTATGGCAAGGAAGAGATGACCCGGTGGAGGACGTTATAAGGGAAACTGCTTTGTAACAACGTTACACATGGAAAACGGCCACGCAGCCAGCCTGTTCATCAGGGCTCAAGACCAGGATCAACCTACTAGTAGTCAGCAGCTTTTACCGCTGAAGCACTGGTGGGCATGTTATAGCTATTTGCCTACTAAGATAGGTACTTTCATGGAGTCCTTTTTAATAGAAAATGTGACACACGGTGAAAGCCACGGAAATTCCCACACAACCATTTCTTTCATCAGGATTTGAACCCGAATCAAGCAGATGGTCCGTTTAAGTTCAGGTATAATAATTATTTAATTAACATTTTCCCGTTATCCTTTGAATTTGCATCGTATTATTTTGGAATATTTTTGATTATGAACTCAGTTATATTTATATAGAACTCAGTTATATTTGCATTCATATTTTAGGCTAGCAACAATTTTCAACAATCTGACAATTTTAACACCTGCATATTTTCTCCATTATGCGTTGTGTCCTTCAAATGAAAACGCAGCTTCTTATTGTTATTCACATTATTTTTAGCTTTGCTTTTTAATATTTCCTACAACTGTGTGCTTTTCATTAACATTTCGTTAATGGCATACTTCTCATAACATGATATGTGTCCTGTGTCAATAACACACATCATGACAGTCAAACCTTTTTACGTTTTGTATGAAAAATTTACATTAAAATGCTTAAAATTACACTATTATTTAATCCTACAGTTCCTCTTTGTAAATGTCCCACCAGCAGCCGAGAGTTAAAGACGTTGAACACTGGTAGTTCGGTCCGAGGTTCAAATCCCGCGAACAGGCTGGCTGCATGGGCGTTTTCGTGGTTTCCCCCGTGTGTAACGTGTATACGAGCCAATTTCCCTTAGAAAGTCTTCCACGAAGGCATCCCTCCCTTCAGGCAGATAGCCCTAGTGTGCTTTCCCATAATTGAATAATCCCAATACCTCTTTGTAAATGCTACAGCTCTGACATTACATTCATTACTTAATTTTTTTAATTTTTTCAAGTTAGGCAAGAGCTCCATATTTAAAACTGTGGTTCCAATTCAAATAATAAATGATAAACAAAATGTTTAGATTTAATAACTGAGTATTGCCAGGTTTATAACTTTATGTATTTGTTGATTGTTGCCTGATCTATTTAATTTTTTAATATTATTCTGAAGTTACTAAAAGAAATACTATAAAATATGATTACCGGACACCACTGGAAAAGGGCGTCACCACTCTTCAAGTTGTAGTTAAAACCGATGTTTTCAAAATGAGTTATTAATGTCTGAAAAAAAATAAGTATGTATTAGGAAGAAGTAGTAAATCTGAAATTATTTTACGCTAAAATATTACTTCGCGTAGCACAGAACAACAGATAATACCTGGCAACATGCTCATAGACGGAACAACTTAACTATTATCCTTTTGCCATTCCCATCTGATTAGAGGCTATTAGATTATTTGCAACCAGAAAATAGGGAAATTCTACCATATCCTCGTCGAGATTCAACCAATGAATCTTGCACTTTGCTAATTGAACGTGCTAACCACTTGCATTTCAAAAGCACGCACTGGGAAATGCGATAATGTGGGTGCAAACTGATCGGCATTAGGCCGTTAAGTCGGCGGTAATGAAGAAGTAACGTTAGTTATTGCTACTTGAATAGTCTAAACATTAGAGTTATAAAGGTAGCTATAATTGTATTTATAAATTTCACGTTATGTTATTTAATAAATCCTACCTATTTACATGCTCATTAATATATGCATTATTATTCTGTTAAATAAATATAAATAAGGAAAAGTGTACTATTAATTTTGAAGAGTTCACATAATGCCTAAATATAACTTTTTTCAGCCCTTGTACTCATCCAGATTTATACTGTTCTTTGACAATAGATTTTTGTTGTAGTTTGAATCGTCGAAAAATTCTCCTCGCTCAACTGACCAGGAAATTTGCCACCAAAAACTCACAGATTGTATCGATATATGTTTCGTTATATGCTTCAGTAATCGATATATGCTTCCTTTCGTGATTGCATGAATGAGTAAGTTTCTAGTATTGGTTACAATACAATTATGCAGAGAAATTATACTTTTGAATATTCTATAGATTGCAGCAATTCAGTATTTCATAAATGCTTCCTCTAGTGACTAATCTAATATTGTACATAATAATAACATTACATTATAATATAATAATATTATAATAATATTACAATAATCTAATATTATATTATACTCTAATATTGTACAAATAATTATACAAGGAAATTTTACTTTTGCATATTCTACAGATTTCAGCAGTGATCTCAAACTCAAATTGCCCGCGGGCCAAATACACCACCCGAAAGTATCTGACCAAAGGCAACAATAAAAAAAATTATTAATGAAATAGAATTTTTAGCTAAATTAAAAAAATAACTAGGAAGAATTTTTTTTTACTTATTTACTTGAAAGAAATTTTTATTGGTCTCAATTTGTAATTCAAACTTCTTGATAACTAAAATTAAAATCTCCAATTTCATATTTATTCATATAATTGAATTATATAGCATTAACCACTAAATAACTTATTGTTAATTTACACTAGAAAGAAATATACAAAATTTCCCTGAATTGACGAAACCTGTGAATAAAAAATAACAACTTATTCCCTTTCTGTTATTCGTTACAATTTTCTATAAAGCACAACGAAAATAATGCGTATTTGTACGCAAAGAATTATAAATTTCTTTGTTTTTATACTACATTTTTTATTACAACACCTCATGGCATTTCGATTTTCACAAAGTTTATAACCTTGGAGGAAAATTATCAAAAAGTATCTTCCTCACCCGTTTCGTTTTCGCAGACTTATATGACAAAAATCTGTTGACATGTATACACACTCCTAAAAAAGTGATGACTCTTATTGTAAAAATTCGCAAAATAAATTATTTATTTTTTGATAAGTAATAATAAAATTTAAGCAAATTTTTATCTTCATATTTTTGAATGAGATTTATATCACAGTAAAATTAATTAGCTTGTAAGGATTTATATTTATTTTAAATAACCAATTTAATTTAATTTTACGTTCTTTCTATAAGACTCCATTCCCCTAATCTGCCAGAATATTTAAATTAGGTAGATCGCGTGAAGTAATGCAACTTGTATCTTCGAGTTTTTAGTTTAGTTCTTGTTATTTTAGTTACCGCCCGCGTGAGGCGTAGTATGTTAGCGTCAAGTCGACGCATTGTGAATTTATAGAGTTTAATAAAGGGTACCTTTAACCCTTCTCCTGAGTTTTGAGTAGTTTCTAACCTCAAGCTTCATTTCTGGATTTTAAATATTGCTGACAGAGCGATTTTAGTAATGAAGCTGATGTAAATTGGATTAAAATCTGAAACGTTTTCTTCAAATTCTTGTCACAAAAATGCAAATTAATATACGAAAAATATATTCGAGAGTCACATAAAAGTGCTTGGGGTGCCTCAGGAATTCAGATTGAGACCACTAGCTTACAGCTTTATGGAAATTACATAATGGAATACCAAATATATTTAGTGATACCCCTGCTGAATGCACTACTCCTTTCGGATCGCCAGTGGTACCAGAAGTAAAATTTAAAACTGTTGGGTGGCCAAAGGGAAGTTGTTCGAATAGTATATCTGGAATGCTACCATCTGGATTTCGACCACTATCCAGAAATTCATCTAGAAATATACTGTGGAAAAAAAGGAGATAAATATCCATTACTGTCATAAACAGAAAATATCAAAAAGTTATATAGGATACAATGGGGTATTATTTCAGTTTTGTTGCGCTGAATAGAAAATTTAATGCAAACTTGTCAAAGAATTTTACAATTGTTTCCCTTTATGTTTGAAGGCAAAGGAGTTAGAAAATTTAATTGTCAAAAGAGAAGATTTATTATGATAAATTTGTTGTTGAAAATCTTAAGCGATTTATAGGCTTTTTTATATTTTTATATGTACAACATATAAATCTTACCATAGTCTAGAAAAAAATGACAAATAAAAGGTTACCCGTTTTTGATATGTGAAATACCATTGGCTACTGTTTCTTCTTTGGAAGGAATAATGATTATCTTCTCTAGCCTTGGACAGTCTGAAAAAATTAAAAATGGCTTTTAACGAACTGATAATTAATAAATATTTATTAACCTTTAAATACAACAAATAGGCTTTCAGAAATTAGATAAAATTTAAAGCATCATTTCCCAGATAATAAAAGTGAGCAACTGAAACTTTGTGATTGTTTGAAGTATAGAGTAAATAATTACACCTACCAACACCAAGCTGAAAATTTGCTTCTGTTAACTAATATACATTTTGCAACGATAAGAAAACAAAATCGTGCCTGCTTTTCTTATAATATATCCATTGTGGTGGCGCAGTGCTTTCATATACCGCCCACCAGTGACTAAGCTATAAAGTTACTGAACACTGGTAGTTCTGTCAGGTCTTCATGTGTTCTCGGCCAGTCCTTCTGCAGCTGTCCCAGATATAGCTTGCTGATCACCGAAGCTCAGAGCTTCACTTCTCTTTTTCTTTTACATAGCTACCTCAACTGGAAAAACTTCATCTTTGGACTTTTACATACATCAGAAGTCTAAGAGAACTCATTCAGGAATCTGGAAAGAGCAGGAGTAGTGTATCTCCCGCTGGATGCCAGAGTAACCAACAAAGTATCAAAAAGTTCGGTCAGGGGTTCGTATCCCGGAGAGTGCGCTGGCTGCATGGACGCTTTCGAGGTTTTCCCTAATTTGAAACGTGTATGCCAGGCAATTTATCTTAGAAAGTCATCCAAGAAAGCATTCTTTCCCTACGCAGATAGCCCTACTTTGCTTTGCCATAATCAAATAAATAACACCAAATGTTCATATATCTGTTTAGGATTGCACGTAAATAAATTTCAAACGATTCTTAGTCATAAAGCCTTATAATTTTCATTTTTATAACTTCTCCTCTAATAAATAATTCAGTTTAAGACTTGGAACTGAATATAAAAGATATTCATAAAAGGCAGGCGTCGATTTCAATACCTCAGATACTTCTCTCAGACATGACTTCTAATCATAAAGCTCTTGAAATAAGGTTATAAATTCTGGAAGTCAAAAGAACTCTGTGGGTAATAAAATTTGAGAAACATAAAAATCCAGCCGTATATTTGATCTACGAAAAAACAAAATTCAATATGCAAAACATTTAATATACCAGTGAGTTAAAGCATTAAAATGTTTTGGATAAAATTCGCTGAGATTTTCGAAAGCGAATTCGCTGTCTTAGCTCATTTTTCAGTATATGATATTCACGGAAATTTAACATATTCCACATTTAGGAAGCAAAAGCAAAGTTTATGCTGTTTTTTGAGCAATATATAACTTTGAAGAAATAGAATTTATTATTAAGGTTGTAGTTGGCCCATTGACATTATTAATTATTTATATCTCAGGAAATTCCACACATGATGATTTATAACTTCTTACTTTTAAACGCATTAAAGCAAAATTTTATCAATTTAAGGTCTTTGTGTGTTCGGCTATATAAAGTTTAATATGTCACATAGATACTTATGTATTATCGTAACCACATTAATAGAAGTCGCCAAACTTCAGAATACACCGAACGCTCGTAATTATGCGCATAATAATTAATCAGGCAGCCATGAATTGGCACATGTCAAATATTCACATTCCAAAGTCGCCATTTTTATATGCATCCTTTTTGCTGTGTTCGAAGTTCCAAAGATTTTTATGGAAAACTTCTGATTATTTTTTTTGTTTTAAATTCGATCTCAAAACTTGTGCCTGTAAGATTTTTCTATAAAAGAAGAGAGGTGAGATTTCTGCAAGCATTTTCGAACAAAATCGCTAAAGGAACAATGCTTCGAATTCTTTCTCAAGGCGATTGCTACGAATTTTCAACCACAAAAAAAAAAACAAAAAAAAAAAAAAAAAAAAAAAAAAAATCCCCTTTGTAACTAGGTTTGCTCTCTATCTTTTCGAATAAATATACAGTTAAAACGTAGAATACGTACTTTCGTATTTACATATGTATGTATGTATGCATGTATGTACATACGTACGTATGTATGTATTAATGTAATGTAATGTATAGGATTTACACTAAAAGTAATTATTAAATTAATAGAATTCGCCAAACTGTGCCAACTTTGTAGCGATAATAGGTAACTACCGTCATATCTGCATATTTTTTCCATCTGCAGTCATACTATTTTCATAACTTTTAAATTAACCGGCGAAACATTTAACTTAAATATCTATAAGAAATCAAGAATGTAGCTCCCACTTTAAATTATGTTAAATTAAATAAACACGCTTGTTTAGTGCAGAACATTTTAAAAAACTGAGTAGCGTATGTGTTACCCAAAAGAAGGCAATGGCTTGGCTTTGGCTTACTTGTAAAGCCTCTAGGGCTTTCTGCCTAAGGAAATGGACATCTTCGTGGAGGACTTTCTAATGTAGACCGGCTCGTATCCAGATTAAACATGGCGAAAATCGCGAAAATTCCCATCAGTACAAGCAGCCAGCCAGTTTGCGTGTTTCGAATTTCGAACCGAGCTACCAGTGTTCAGCAACTTTACCGCTCGGACGCTGGTGGGTCAGAGAAGACGTTGGAAGCACCCATATAGTAGTGATCTTGTTCTGTAATAAATACAACCCATATTACACCAAGATTCAGCAGTTTAAACACTCAGCCATTTACAGATTTTAAAGTATCCTTTCCATTCCAAAGATACTCATCTTACACCTTTAGATAAAATATTTTTAATGAAGAAAATAAGTTTACGACGCAAGGAAATTAAATGCATTTCAATATTTTTTCAGAAACTAAATTATTACCAATTCCAAACTGCAAATTTTATCAGGCAATATTTGAGTTCAATTTATTTTGAATTAAATTCAATTTATTTTGAAAGCAATATTTGAGTTCACGTATTACTTACTCTTGACTATAACTGGTAAATTTTCCATGATATTATAACTGTTTCCATTGTCTTGATGATGATCCACAGTGATTAGAAACTTTGCTTCCATTTTTGTAATGATATTTGATGCAACCTAAAATTCAGACAAAGACACACAAAAGGAATTTTTTTAAACAAGCTAGTTATATCTAAAATTGACATTTGCTAATTTACTTTCCATTCAAGTTTTCAAATACAAACTATCATATTGTTCTACTTCTCTATATATTTCTTTCAATTTCGTTTGAAATTCCAATTATAATTTGAAAGTCAATCCTTCATACCGTTTAATTGTGATATTATTAAATTAAATTAGCATGTAAACACTGTTAGATTAAATCAATTACGTTAAATTATAGTTTTTTAAAATTAAGTTAGTAAATAGATCTCTAAAGCAACTAAAAAATGAAAGATATGTTTCATGATGCATTCGATGCAAATTAAGCAAATGTATTCGTATTTCTTTTATTTACAGTTTTATGCCATATCAATGACTGGTAAGGTGCTTATTTGCATGTAATATTAGATTTCTTATTAAAAAGATCTGTATTGTAGGCACACCTCTATTGAAAAGAAAAGCAAGCGTAATAATCAGTGCAATTTTTTTAGTGCACCTTATTCAGTTTATAATAATGCTACCCTGTACAGATAAGAGACGGATTTTTATTTTAGAGTTTTTCTTCAAAGATTAAAATATCAATTATAAATACTGATATTTAAGTTTAGTGATGTGAGGTTTTTCGTTCTGGACTTGAATTCGTATGTGAAGTAGATTGTGTTATTCTATGCTATTAAATGGTCAAAAATAACACAAAATAACACGTTAGTATATTTTTATTTTTCTCTACAAATTATCGGCGAATAATGTAATCATTTTGTCAGAAATATTAATGCTGTTGATATTTCTGGCAGAATTAATATTTCAGCATTAATACAATTTCTGATGTATGATTCTTGTATTTCTGATAATAATACAGCATTAATATTTCTGATAGAATGATTGTGAGATTCTTATGTTAATTAAATATTTATTATGATTTTGATCTTTACTATAGCTTCTCTCTGTACTCTGACCAGAATGCAAATTAGCTTTGAGAGTATTTAAGCTGAGGTTTTTAAATATTAGAGAGAGAGCTTCTGGCACTCGCGTAGCGCTCTTATACTTCTTAGCCAGCTCTGTTTAAGTATAGGATATCTAAGTATAGCTACAATACCTAAGTATAGGGAACGGAGGAACGTGTAAAACTTTATTTCGTATTTTGCAAAGAAAATTTTCTTTAAATTTAAAAATGGAAAAATATGAATCTTTGCGTCATTTAAAACATTTCTCCAACTAGAATTATATGTCTATAAGCAGCGAAAATAGCGGCCTTGTAAGAACTTTTGTGGACGCGACGTTCATTCTCTAAACATTAACAGTATACAACAATATATATTGACACTGCTTAGAATATTTTATATGTAGCTAAATGTTGATTTCCTTTTAAATATCTCGTAATAAATCAAACGAGAAAAGTAATGCCCCTATATTTGCAATTATATTATACTCCTCAAAAGTGAAATTGCAACACCAAGAAAGAATGCGCGTAGCGTCATGCAAATTACAGAAGCAAGAGTTTTGAGGTGGATATGCAAATGATAAAAGTTGCGCACATTGGATCACGTGGTATGCAAATGCGGGCTATAAAAGTCAGCCACTTTCTCTTCTTATAAACAGCATCTGAAGGTTTACGGAGCATTGGAGACTTTAGAAGAAGCACAGAAAATGTCTCTGAGACGTCGCCGAGCTCAATCGGCTCAATACCATCAGTTAACGACCTGGAAACGTGACCTTATTATTGAACTCCATGAGCTTGGTTTGTCCCTGCGCACAATAGCCAACCGTGTTGGGCACAATGTGAGTACCATCCAACGCTGTGTCACACAATGGATTCAGGAAGGTGTGCGTACACATCGAAGAGAAAATGGTGCGCACAGGTGCACGTCAGAGAGCATAGACCGGCGTATTCGGCGGTCAAATATTGCAGACCCTTACTCCACGTCACATGACGTCCGAAGCCGGTTGCTTCCACGAGCAAATGGATCTGTGTCCACCCAAACTATTCGTAACAGATTGCATGAAATACACTTACGTTCACGGGTACCAGCTACAAAAGTACCATTGACTTCTGAACACAAGACTAGACGCCCGGTGTGGTGTCAGCGTCATAGTGCGTGGACCATCGAATGGCATTGGGTTTTGGTCACGGATGAATCTCGTTTCTGTACAGAACGCTACGAAACAGCCAATTTTGTCGAGTGTCATACCGGTCCTGCCCGGGTTATGGTTCGGGGTGGCATAATGTTTGATCACAAGACGCCCCTGGTACACATAAACGGCAGTTTGACAGCGGACCGCTACATCACGCAAGTTGTGGAGCCTGTTACTCTGTTCTGGTTGCATGGCGCATCCAACACGGTATTTCAATAAGACAGTGCCAAGAGGCATGTCGTACCGCGTACTCTTAACAGCCTGACAGGATCTGACATCCTACCCTGGCCTGCAGCCACTCCAAATCTGAATCTCATCGAACATCTGTGGGATGTCACTGGACTTGACATTTACCGAGGACCACGGCCGCAAACCCTGGATGATCTGCGTACAGCAGTTGATGTGGCTTGGTTGAACTCATTGATAGCATGCTTGGCCGGATTGCGGCCTGCATCACTGCCCAAGGTGGGCACATTAGATACTAAATAAATTGGTTTATAATGATTTTATGTGTCTATTTTTTTAATCATTTGCATATCTATCTCACAACTCTCGATCCTGCAATCTGCATGATGCTACGAGCATTCTTTCTTGGTGTTGCAATTTCACTTTTGAGGAGTGTATATGCGCTATTTAGTAATGGATTTCCATAACCCGATTTCATTCGCGATCCTGTTCTGTTTGTTCAAAAACACTTCCATAAAAGTATACATAAAATGAAGAACTGATCTTTCGCAAAATCACACTTGCATAAATGAATCTGCTTATGAATTCCTTTCTAGGAAATACTTTTATTTTCCTGCATGCATATTGATTGCATTTAAACTATCGAAATTCTTGGTCTTTCGTCATTGTGCAGGAAACCAAAATATTTTATATATATTCGTAACAAAGGGCCTTATGCTACGTCTAATTTCGCAATCATTGACTGCAGACATCGATAATAGAGAAATGAATTAGGGAATACGAAAGAAATTGACATTGTGATACTTTTTGAAGTTAAATCACTTTTCTAAATATTACGAATGTCAAATTTTTTGTTCGGCTGTCTGGTCTTTATATTTAATAGAACTTACATTTTAACCAAAAATTAAAATATAAAATGTTTTGCTTTTAAAATGAAGCAATATAAGATCGTCGTTTAGAGCATTTTTGTAATTGGAATTGTACTCAAGACAGTTTTTTTTAAAAAAAAGGTCTCATAGGTCCTTTTATAGACATGGTGCATAAATAAGGGAAAAGAAAGTTTTTTTTTCATAAGATATACACGAAAAGTGTTGCTGAGATTTAAAGTTTACTTTTATATGTTTCATGCAACTTTTACATGTTTTATATGCAGAATAATCATAACATTCGCATTTTGAATACACAAAGAAAAGTAACAAAGGTAAATGTAAAAATTTACATGCAATCAGCTCTAAACAGTGTTTCTTATCTAAACTGAAAAGTCTGAGAGATCGGTCTTAGAAATAAAAGCACGAGAGAAAGAGATAGCTGAATTAAAACTATACATTAATCAGATTATATTGAATAGAGAGAACATATTCTTGCCATTTTGTGTTTTGTCTACCTGAAAGACATTCATCAAAGAAAAATGATTTTTCAGTGTTTTCTAATTGCGAAATGCTTGCGAGCATAACTTCAGAGTGGTAAATAAACTGGATTGTTTAAAGGAAAACGAGCTCGTAAAATATATTATGGCATTTCACTAATGGAATTGTAGTAGCACATTACTTACTCGTCCTCCAAAGTAAGGCTGTGGTCCACCCCAGATAGCCCCGATGCTCGTTGCTGCCAGCATGGCAAAGACAGCTTCTTTTCTGTTAGACATGTAACCTGTAAAAGTTTTGGATATCTTTTAGCATTTTTTGTACCTTAACATATAAAAACAATAAAATATTTTTATTTCTTTGATAATATTGCAGTATTAATTCATTAAATAATTTAAATTTGCTTGCATACATAAAGTTTTTTTTTTTTTATTATTATTATTATTCGTTCTAGATTCAAAGGCGTAAATATTCGTCAGTTTTCTTGAAATGTTAAGTGTTTTTTAGGTTCAAGAATAAATTCTTCTAAATCACTGTCGTTTTCTGTTCAAGGAATTCTTACGTATTCTCTCGTTTTTGAGGTAGTTAATTTATCTGAAAATTCTGAAAATCATATGCATTTTAGAAACTTTCCAAATTTTTTGCACTATTGTAATAATTCACAAGTAGATAATCAGATAGTCATTTATGTTATCGACTAAATTTCCTTTTTGTTCATTTCGCATAATTTAGTAATGCTTTTCTCATAATTAAAAATAATCTTGACTACGAGATAAGACAATATCTGCCAAGGCAAAAGACAACATTTTTTGTCATTTATGCTACGAAACGAATGCTGCTATTAATATAATTTTTGTAATAAAAATAAATTATGAACAAGATTTTTTTTATCCATCGGCTGTAAGTTAAAGGCAATAGGAACTGTAAGTTTATACTGTAGTAGTTACAAAACTGTAAGTAATTATAGGAAACTGTAGAGTTAATATACTGATTGAAAATTCTGAAACATCCATTTGCATGAAATGAAAGTTATAGGGAACCAAATAGGAATTATTGAGATGTTGAAAACGTGGCGTAATGGAAAATAACAGAAGAAAGATGATTTCATTAGCTTTACATCATATATTACAAATGTTTCGATGTTAACATTATCTTGGCAGAATATTAAAAGTAATTATATTTTTGTTCTGATAATACACGTTATTGCGTACGAGAAGTAGCATCGATTCTCACAAGACTGGGATAAATATTTAAAACAATGCAAATATAGGGAATTCAGCTATTCCACTATAGATCATTCACTGTAATGCTTAGTGGAGCTAGACTCCTAGCCCTAAACCAAAGAGTTGCCCCTTTATAGCGGATTTTGTAATGTCATTTGTCATTGTGCGGACTGGGTAACGCTCTTGGCCATAGAACTGCTAAATAAACTATGGATTCTGCCATTACGGAGAAATGCTCAATGAGAAAGTGTTAGGTCGTGGAAAAATAAAAGAAAAGTGAAATAAAGTAAGTCAGAAACACAAAAAAGCAATTTTTTTCGAAATAAATAGTGATATTCCCATTAAATTTATTATTACGTTTTTTATAACAATAAAACAAAAATTTATTTCTTACAAATATAGAAGCATAATAAACGAATATACAAATAATATAAAATAAAATTCGAAGTATGTTTACGTTTCAGATCATTCAATCTCTTCTGTATTTCCAATTTTCTGCCTTTTTATCAAGAAGGTATCTAATGTAATTTGCGTTTTCCTTTTGCGCTCTGTAAGAAGTTGTTAGTAAGTGTATAAGGCATCCATAACACCCGGTCTTGCCTGTCAAAATTTGGGTCAAAATTGGAACTCCTGTCAAAATTTGGGTCATTTTCAATAAACTGGTCTATAATTTTTGTTATAATGGTCAAACTGGTTTTTAGAAACGCTGTTAAAAATCCTTTTTGCTCTTCTTCAAATCACTACTTTCAATGTTTTTGTGTTCTTCTTAGTCCGCTAATTTCTTGAGCTCTTCATTAGAAAGACTGAAAGACTTGTTGCTGTTTCTTGTACTATTTCTTCGACATCTTCCACATTTATCTTATCTAAACCGGTTTGTTTCGCTAATTCCGCTATTTCTTCCATTATTTCATTCATATCGACGCCCTTGTTTAGATCTCCTTCCACACCCCTTTCAAATATTTTTCTGTTACCTCATTCCAAGAAAAGTTTATGTTTTCTACAGCATTTATAATATTGTAATTTTTCCCAAACTCTCTTATTGATTTTTTCTCTTCTCCGTCTGTTTTTCAGACATCTGTCTAAATGTTCACCGCAGGTAATAAGCCTTTAAATTTGATATAACGTCTTGATCCATTGGTTGGATTAAGGCAGTTATGTTAGGCGGCAAGAAAATCACTTCGACTGGAATGCATGTTATTAAGTCAGATAAATTCGTTGGATGGGTTGGAGCATTATAAATTTAAAAAACGTGTTCTTGATTCAAGTTTTTCAGTTTCGCAATAGCGTTTAACAGACGGGCAAACATATTCAGTGAATCAATTCTTTAAAATTTTCATAGTTATCCATGATTTTTTATTAGACTCCCAAATTACAGGTAAAGTTGATTTGGATATTCCTTTCATTGCTTTTGGGTCTTTGGAATGGTAAACAAGTAGTGGTTTTAATTTGAAATCTCCGCTTGCATCACCACCCAGTAGAAGTGTTAAGCGATCTTTTGAAGCTTTAAATCCTGGTGCAAGTTTTTCTTCCCGGGATAGAAGAGTTCGGCATTTTTTTTCCAAAATAGGCCTGTTTCATCAACACTAAAAACCAATTCTGGAGGACAGTTTCCTCGTTCACTTATTGTTTTTAATTGTAGCTGGGAATTCAGCCGCCGCTTTCGAATCACCACTTGCTGCTTCTCCTTTAATCTGTATGTTATGGAGATTATTTCGATGTTTAAATCCATTAAACCGTCCTCGACTTGCAACGAAAGTTTCACTTGTGTCACTTGCCTCAACCTGAATGCAATTAAAAATTCTTCTTGCTTTTTCCATTATAATAGATTGGCTTAATGGTATATTGAGTTGAATTTCGTCGTCAATCCATACAGAAAGTCGTTTTTCCATTTCCTCTATTGTATTATTTTTAGACCGGGTAATTCTAGTTGCAGAGCTTGTCGTAGTTTCAGTTGCCGATGACAGTATTTTCTCTTTATTCTTAAGAATAATCCTTATTGTTGAAGTTGCCAAATTCAATGCAGCACTAATTTGAGAATGACGTTCACCAGTATCTAATCTTCTAATCACTTGCATTTTAGTTTCTAATGAAATGCTTTTTCTTGTTGCTTTATTTTCGTGTTCTTTATTATCGCCCATGATAAAAACTAAAAATCATAATATTTTTCACTATAGCAATGATTATATTATATAAATTTATACTTACAATAACGTCAACAAATGTTGGAAACGATAAAAATACATTCGTATAACACCGCAGAAAAGAAGAAACACAGATAAAGTGCTTCGAAAATCGGGAAGCGTAACGCTGCATGCAATTTCGGAAATTCGCACAATTCAAATAAAAGAGCGTTAAATCGAAACAGCGCTAAACGAAACAGAGTTAAGCCGGGTTTTAGTGTATCTTGAAAAAATATGCATATTATGCAATTTTTCAATTTCATCATATTTCCTTTTACTACCCTTAGCTACAGCAGAATTCCATTTAGTTATTTAGCCAATTGGAGATTCTAAGAGCTATTTCAGTGCATTTCTGGATACGTATTGAGCGTGTACGTGTTGCAGGAGATAATTATTTGCACATACATGTTTGTTTTCAGTTGTGGAATGCTGTGATGATAAGGACTAGTTTCTGGACTGTCAAAAATATAATGGTCAGTGTCTCTAACCCCTGCACATACGAACGATTCCGAAAGCCGAAACGAAATAAATAGCTCATTTATGGGCCATGTCCCGTCGTTGATATACTCCTTAACTTTTGCTTTACATTTTATTCTTACTTACAAGCAAGTGTGTCGCCTTTCTGTAAGCCAAGATTTTTGAACGCTGCAGTATACAGCTTGGCCTCTTCAAACATTTGAGCGTACGTGACTGTCTCTTCAAAACCAGTCTCATCTGAAAAAAGCAAAGATCAATAATTGTGATAAAAATAGCAATATTCAAAATTGAAAATGTAAAACTTATAATTTGATAATTTATTGGATCCGAACGATAATAACAATATTGTTTATTCTTTTTAACAAATTCATAAGAATTTAAGCAACTTGTAAAATATATGTAAAAGCATTGAAATAAAATCTCTAAATACATTTTCCCAAGAATGTGACCTTTGATTCTGAAGCTTTCTGTATCTCGGCAGCTTAATGCATTCCTTTTCTTCTTGCTGGTACGCAAAAATGAAATGTAAGTTTTTACTCTCAGTGTAGAACAAAGGTTGCTTTATTTTCTTTTAAACTATAATAAGTCTCCCTTCATATTCTGCAGATTGAACTACAGTCAAGCTACAGAACTACAGTTTGAAAAATATAAATAGTAGCGGGAAAGCAATTAAACACATGCAAGAAATATTTGTAATCCTTATAAAATTAACAGAAACATAAATACTAAAATTTATACGCATTTCCAAGCAGTTTAATCTGAAAAGAAATTTCATTTAGTTACTTAAGTTAAATGGGTATTAAAAACGAAAAGAATGTACTGTTAATAACGGAAGACCAAGCATGATTAGATATGAGGAAAATATGTGATAAATGGTAATAAACAACAATGTTTGCAAGCAAATTTTATAGAGACATTAGGATTAATTGAAAGCAGGCATGATGAAAAATGATCAATTGCCCTTTGCCGGGAATCGAACCAGGGACCTCTGGAATACCGGTCCAGCGTACAGAACCACTACACCACGAAGGCACGCTGGAAGGCGGGAGAAATATCTTATATGCTCCCCTTTTTTAAAAAGGCGACTGGGGGTTTTAGGGGACACAATCACCAAATCCTGGGTGAGGAAAATCATCATCCAACACCCTTTTAGTTCGAGCGCCACTTTAGAGACATTAGGATTAATTAGAAGCAGGAAAGATGCAAAATGAGCAATCGCCTTCGCCGGGAATCGAACCACGGACCTCTGGAATACCGGTCCAGTGTGCAGAACCACTACACCACGAAGGCACGCTAGGGAGACATACCTTAAAACTTGACCAATATCATTAATGTGAATTTCTCTTAAAAACGTTTTTATGGACTTTATGCAAACTGAAAGTAAGTACCAATTCATCTTCAGCATCCATTCGGAAAATAATGGAGAGAAAACTGCAGAATAAAAGAACATAAGCGACAACTCAAACTAGTATAGGGTGTGACGAAAAATTTCATATAGCCGAAATTTTTCAGCTTATGCATACATGTTATATTTGTTATTAAAAATGTTTCTGAGAGTTTAAACGCTAGAGAAATATGTGAGAAGGTTCAAAATCGGCTCTTAGCTAAGAGCTAAATCTTCAATTAAGAGATGCTATATTTTTTGTAGACCACGTCTGTAATTATTTACAATATGCTTATCACAACAGATGAAATAGACAAACAAAATGGCGATGAATTTTGTTTCTGTGGGTTTGGTGGAATGAAGATTATAGACACGATTAGTGGCGTGAATTGTACCCTACGTCGGTGTGCCTTAGTGCTTATACTCCTAGCTTCCTCCTGCAGAGGACTTTGTTTTAGCGTTCCAGATATAATATTACGGTATTTAGAATAATGTTTGGCAAATGGATCTTCCTCGCACTACTGGAAAGAGGCTGTTAATGTTGCAATGTAATATACGACTGTGCTGCAACCCCCCTGGCCGATAATAATCGGTCTCATGGTTAACGCAGCACGCACATACAAACAAAAATACAGTTAAAAGATTAAAACAGAAATACAATCAAAAGCATCAAAACAGAAATACAGTCAAAAACATCAAAACAGAATTCCCAGTGTTGTTCGTCAAATCCTTTGCAATTCTATACTCTTTGGTACGGTAGTAGAATTCCTTTAGGCTACGATGTTTTCCTGTTAATGTTGTATTTGGGAGGTATTTTGGCTGTTTCTTGAATATTGTCTTCGATTAAGTATATTTTTCGTCCCTTCAGTGAGCATTTAAGAGGACAACGGTTAACTGGGTAGCTATATTCGGCAGTATCTGAATTTATTGTCCACTTGTGTCTTTATTGGCTTCTAAAGTTCATAAAAATTTCAAATAAACTGTATATTGTTCAAAAATTTATTTTGATTTATTGAGAGATATTAATCTGCATTTGTTGCCGGCATTAGTTTAAAAGATATTACTCTTGCATTTTAGAAGATCAATACTGATCTATGTTACGTAATATAAATTTCTTTAAAGTTATTTGTTTAAATGGTTGAAATGGCCTTCTATATATCTAAATTTTATTTGCGAATATAAAGGGAAGAGAAGCAGGTTTACAAACCATACAGAATTTCATTATTCCAATAACACTTGTCTTTCAGTTTTTTAATTTTATGTTTGTTTGTTTTTTTTTTCCAGAGAAATTGTTAAGCTGGTAACAGAATATTATCTGTTGCAACTACCGGAATTCATGCTGATACACTTGTTGCGCAATAACATAGAGGAGTATGAAATACACCTTAAACGAACCAGGAAAATTCTTATCAAATATACGTTGTCAGTTCGATAAGATAACGTATTTTGTTTGCAAGAGATTCTTCTAGAAATTTTAGCTGACACTAAATTGTTTGTAATATAGTAATTTCGTTCAAATGATATTGACCTACTCCAAAAAAGGCCAAGGTTAAGGACATGTGTCTCTTAAACACCTTTGTACAACAGCCTTTTCCTTGAATTCTAGGTCTTCCAAAATTCATTTAATAAAACTCAATCAAAGAACATTTTATTTTAGAAATATAGCAAAATCTACATATCGTGAACTTGGAATTGAAGCAGAGATAAACAGAACTCAACAAACAAAAACTGAAAATCAAATTTTCATTGTTAGTTTAAACTGTTTGCTTGATAAGAGAAGTATATTTTTTATTAAAGAAGAAAACTTCACATTCTTTCGGAAGTTTAAAAATCGGAACTTCTGCTGCGGATAGCATTATAAATTCAGATTTTTGCAGTATCTACAAAACCTGTAACGGAATATTCAGGTTACAAGAATAAAATTAATATTTAAAATGATATATTTGTAATATTTTTTAACATTTGGAACGAGAAAACAGAGAACTGTTCCACAACTTTAATCAAAATTCTTTCCGTATATTAATAGTTACATAACCTATTTCATAACAGCTTGGAAACAGATTCAAATGCTCTGAAAGACGGTAAACCATAATAAACAAAAGCCAGTGTATAATAATAAAAGATAACTTTAAAAAATAGCGAAATAAAATATATATATATTTGCATTTCAAAATATATAGACCTCTAATAATGAAGAAGAGAAATTAATAGGCAAAAATATGCGGATTTAAATTATAAAAAACCGTCATAAACAGTTCTAAACACAACCTATAGATGTAAGAAAAGCAGAAAATTAACGAAAACAGATATGCATAATTGAAAAAGCACTAAAGAATGGTTTTATTATCCTTGGGGAATTTTGAATAAAGCAAAAGTTTCCGAGAAAAGGTCTATTTCATTTTTTGAGAAATGTTTCAAAACATTTTATCATAAGAGAAAGTAAAAAAAAATGAAAGATTTAAAATAAGTAATGATGGAATGTTTATTCATTTCGCTTTCCTTATAATTTCTCATCATCATGTATTCGTGATCCTAAATGGGAAGACTTTTACCGTCAAAAATTCAACACATTCTTTATAATGCAATTTTCATTGAAATTACATACTGAAAACTATTTCTTATCACTTGTTATATTAATCATATAATGCAAATTATTAGTCAAATTACCGACACAAATGATTGCAATTCTGTCATCTCTTATCCGCATGAGATTTTCAGCAAAATTAAGCTTTGCGCCTGGGAACCAATCGTAATCCAGAAATCCATCACCAGTTTTAACCACAACCTAAAATGAAAATAACAATATTTATGCCTTTGAAGAGGAAGGGGAAACGTGCGTTTGACAGGTAGCTTTATAGAATTTTTGTTTTTTAATTACGTTTTTATTATAATTGGCTAACTGTAATTAAGGAATGTGTAATAAAAGTAAGTTAGAACATTACGACTGGTAAAAATGCTTCAAAAGCAATATATGATACAGAGTTATATCCGATAACACATTTTTTTCAGAGATTTATTTTAATCTTTCTCTATATCCTTGCGCTTTCAATTAGTGATATTGATCATAAATTTGCGTAATTGCACGCAATAAAAATAAAATTAAAAATCACTTTGCTGCACTAATGAAAAATTCACAAAGAGGACATTTAAAATATATTAAAATTATGATTAAGTTTACTTTTCTTAAGTTTCAAAATGTTTCTGTGTTACATTACTCTCTAAAACCAATTTCATATATGGAAAGGAATTGAAATAGGATGAATTATAAAAAACGCATGTTGCGTGCCTTTCATAATATATCGTAATATACCGTATCCGTAGTCGGTAAAATTATCCTTTCTTCTATTAGTTGTCAAAACCACAGGAAAAAATGTGTTGATTTTATGCATAACCTTTGAAAGGAAATAAAATGTGTAAAGCGCAATATAATTATCTGAAAGTAATTATAACTGCTTAAAGGTAAACGGTTGTTAGCATAAAATCATTCAATGGTTTATTTTTAAGAGATAAATGATTAAATATGCACGTAACGTAGGAAACATATCAATACCTTGTCATAAGTTTTGGATACCACAACGCCGAAGTAATTCCATATTTCTTCCCACAAACTGGCGTAATTTTCTACAGACCATTTATGGAGATCCCAATAAGAATCTGTAATATAACCCATAATTTATTACTGTACTTAATAACATGGAGTAAAATCGTTACTCTGCGGTTAAAAGAAAGAATTAAATAACCTTTACAATGAAGAACAATACAGATAATTCAGTAATAAGAATTTTAGTTAATACTATAGAATGTTAGAAGATCTAATATGATTTAACAGAATTAAAAGCTCAGATGGTGAAATATTGAGAAGATTATAGTTTTATTTATGTGTAAGAATACAAATTTAAAATCATCTAAACTTTTATAACGGTTTCGCTGCCGTCTAGCTTGTTCCCATACTCATTAATATACGTTGTTACTTTTATTCTGATTGACCATAATCTACATCATGTCCGCGGAGTCATCCTAACCAAATTTATTACCATTGTATCTGTTAAAATGCTCACTAATGTATGTTGTTATTTTTGCTGTGATTGACCATAAGCTAGATCAAGTCCATAATCCATCGTAGCCAAATTTAACACCATTATATCCCAATTTAATTTCCATCCAACTTGTTACATTGCTTATTATTGTATGTTGTTAATTTTTTCGAATTGACCATACGCCAGGTTAAGTTTTCGAATTCATCCTACCTAAAAAAAAGAGAGAGTCTACTGTGGAGCAAATCCTTGGCACTTTATAGGGAAGAATAAGACTTGGTAAAACTCAATTCCTGAAGCGACTTTCGGTTTGACGGATTTGAAGTTTCTTGGTACCGTAAAAACTATACATTTACAAAATTCATGCCTTTTTCACAATTCGAAATAGTGCCCAAATATATGGTGGCTGTGCTAATCACCGGGAAGAATAAAATATATTTATTGTCTAAGAGAACCATATCTTCTCACGCAAATTTATTGAGCCATAAATTTGGTTAATTTTGACAGTGTATGATTTACCTAGTAGAATATCTATTGATCGTGTTTCTATCAACCGAGGCTTCTGCTAACCGAGCCAGCAATCTATGTAAAGAAACATTTCAGTAAAATGCAGTAATGTTAGAAAGAACAAAACAAATATCATTTATATTCGGCAGATTTCCGTGATTTTGACCCTGCTATGTGTCATGGGTCGTTTAATATCCTTCCTATTGTTCATTGATGTAACAAATTGGCCTTCATGTGTTAAAAATGAAAGCAACTTTAACTCATAGGTAATTCGTAGACTTGTTTCGGAGGATAAAATTATGACGATTCGGAAAGGTTAAAAATTTTCAAATTGTGAGAGATGAAAAAGTAATTCGCGGCATAAAATATGTAAGGGAAGATATTTTTTGCATTTTCTTGTAAAACGGGAAACCTATTTAAAAGCATTACTTTTACCAAAACATATATTATTTATATAAGCTTTAGAACATTACAACTACAACCACAAAATGTCAAATCAAAGTTAAGTGAATAAGTTTGCAAAAGTAAACGAAACATTTTTAACCCATCAAAATGAAGGATGAAAGTGAAAGCGCGGTGTTGAGTTTTTTGCAAATTAAGTTTTATTGTGTCATTCTGTAGACACCAATCTGAGTGCTCTGAGACAGGTAACAGTTTTGTTTTTATCTGAAGCAGACTTGACTATTTCTGCTTAGTTGGTGCAAAATTTAAAATGGCTGGTAAGCGTATAGGAATTACGATTTATTAAAGAAAATAATTATTTGCTTATATAGTAAGATTAAATCACTGACAGAAATTGGTGAAACAGTGTTTAGGAATTGGTACAAAGTCAGAACTGTGATAACAAGTTTCAGATCGTCTGACAGTGTGGTAAACGGATCAAAAATTGACAACACAAAAAAAAGTTGACCCGTAGAGTTGAGCGAAAATCTATCAGCATTGTGTGTGAAACCAAAACGTTCTTCATATGCTAACGCGACAACACTCAAAGATTTTAACAAAGAAATTTAACAAAAAATCAATACCCGGTTTCTTTATCGGACCTGTTACAAATATAGGATAGCCAGGATAAAACCACAAATTAGAAAAACTAATCGAAGAAGAACATGCTTGTTTTCCAAGAGAGCATTTAAATAAAGGTAATGGTCGATTGTATTGTTTTCCAATGAAAGCAGATCTTGTTTATTCGTTGCAATGGAAAGGATATAGTTTGAATACAACCGAAAATTGATCTACAAGAAAAGCATATTCAAATAACAGTAAAAACATGGGAGCAAAAGTGTACGCGTTTGAGGCTGCGTGTTGAGTATAGCTTTCTGCAACATTGAGTTCATTGATGACACATTGACAGAGCATTGCCTAATTGAATATCTTTGAACATAATCTTCACCAAAGCGGCCGTAAGCTTCATTTATGCAATACATTCTCCTGGCAACAGGAAATAACACCCGGCATGCAGTATTGTATATTGTCCGCCTGTGGTTGCTCTATCATACGCCCACATTCTCAATCGTCCAGCTCAATCCACTGACTTAATTCCCATCGAATATTTATAAAAATAACTTGACAACGGAGTAAAGAACCACGATATAGTGAGTGTGAAAGAGCTTCTCGTAGATGAATGGAAAAAGATTCTTCTTAACAAGGAAGTAGTTGATGAACTCCATGACAAATAAACTCAAGGCAGTTATGAAAAACAAAGGATTTACCACAAAGTATTGACTGCATTTTATTCTGATAATTTCAACATTAAGTTTTCACTTTTGTCCTTCATTCTGATGAATTGAAATGTTCTGTTTATGTTTGCAAATCTATTAATTTTAATTTTAGTTTAATATTTTGTCGTTAACTTTATAATATCCTAAAAAAACATAAATAATATATGTTTCATAAAAGTAATGATTTGAAAAATGTTTTCCCCATTTTTTGAAAAAATGCCAGTTGCGCTTTCATTTTTGTCCATCATTGTAAACCTGGAGAAAAATAAAATTTGCAGTAATGCTCAGAATGACGATAAAATAAAAAAATGTAAAAATTAGGTTGAGAGAAAGTTTTTTGTAAGAAAGGTTTAATATTATAAATAGACTATATTTAACTGAGATCTATATTTTGTCTTCAATGAAGCCACCACAGAAAATATAGTTTCAGAAAGGTAGGATGTTGAAAATGGTAATAAAATGCGATAATTTTAAAAATTCTTTGTCTGCATGGCTAAATGATTTTCAACTGTTACAAAAATCACTTTTACATGTTGTTCTTCAGCCTTGTAAGTTTTAATACAATCATCCTCATTTGTAAACATTGTTAGGTTTTTTTTTTTTTTTTTTTTTTTTTTTTTTGCTTTATATTTCTGCTCCACATTTACAATTTTCTACAAAAAGCATTAACTTTATCACTCGTATATATGTGTATTTGCTCCTTAGAGCTGAAGGTTCAAGTTATTTAATTTCTCGAATATGTCGAACAAGTAGCTCAATTTCATCATAAATATACCATTGCAAAAATTCTCGACTTCCGGTCTGTTTTCCTTTTGTAGGAAAGTAGCGATTTTCTCTCTTAATTCATAAACACGTTGCAAAAATTTCCCATGATAACCATCTTGCCTCATAATAAAATTGTGACACTCTATGTACTGCACCCATGTCTTTACAAAGTGCAGAAAAGATTCTTGATTTCAGGGGTCTCATTTTTATACAATTTACTACGGTTACAAGTAGTTAACACAATATTCAGACCAGGACTCATTTTTTGGAAGCTTCTGTGTGGATCATGCAATGCGTCCAGACACTCTCTGGATATTTTTGTTTTACAAGTGCTGTGTATACTTTGGAATCTTCCTGACATTGAAAGAGCACCATCAGTGCATATTTCGACGCAATTTTTCCATTCTATATTTGCTTCGTTCATAAAAACATTTAAGATAGCAAATAATGCGTGTGTTGCTGCTTTGAGTTCTATTGGTTTGCAGAAAAGTAGTTCTACTATTGACACATCATTACAAAATCGAACATAGGCAATGAAATGAGCTTCGTGATTACTATTTGTTGCTGTATTGAAAATAATTTATCACGCAAAAAAAAGCTGACACTGTACATATTCAGCTATATCACTAATTCAACAGTATCATTTGAAAAAGGTATGGACTGCAATTGGTTTGCAAAATTATCTCCAAAACATAGTTTCTGCAAACTCAGTTGCTGCTCGCAAAATGAGCTCTTCACCAATGGTGTGAGGCTTTTTACTTCTGGCTATTTGATATGAAACTTTATAAGAAGCAATTAATGCTTTTTCATTCACAGACAAAGTTTATTTTAAAATGAGTTTTGCTTTTCATGTGATTTTAATTTTAATTCGAAAAACTCTCTGGATTTGTTGACGTACTCACTAAGAAACGTTTCCAAATGTCGTTGAAGTTTATTAGATTTCATGCTGTCTGCTGCCACTATTTTTGAGCAAATGATACATGATGGCCTTTCTTCTTCATTTACTTTAGTAATGGCAAATTCAAAATTTAAGTATTCTTGCGAATATTGTCTTGATTTTATTTTCGGAACCACATTCGTCTGTGAACTTGTTGATGTTTGACTATCGTCTAATGCTCGTTTACGTCTTAAAAATCTATCCATGATTCTGCATAAATCAGCCGCCGTGAGTATTAATACGGTGAATTGGAATTAACACGAAAACATATAACATAAAAATTCACGGTAGCATAGATAGCGATAGAAGGATAGACTGGAATGAGACTGGCTGGAATTAAAACTGGCGCTATCGAATTTCCTCCTTCTCCCTATAAACATTTTCTGACATCTGCGCATGCTCGAGACGGCATCTTGGCTCTGAAAACGGTAATCCTTGCAAGGAGGTTGGTTACAGCCGAAAACATCGCGGCAAAAACACCGCGGACGAAAATGTCGCGGAGAAAACAACGCAAGGCGAAAACGTAGTGCTACAAAACATCGTGGGAGAAAACATCGCAAAGAGAAAACATCGCAGTTCTAAAACATCGTGGTACAAAACATCGTCGTCGAAAATAAAGCGGTTCAAAAACTTCGCAGTTTAAAAACATCGTCGTCGAAAATATCGTGGTAAAAAATAGAGTATCTACAAATCATCGCATGACGATAACATCGCAGACATGGTTTTTTGAAGGGTTTAATAACTGTAAATGCATATTTCCGTAATGATTTGTGAGCGCAAGATGTAAAAAAGGATAATTTTTACTTTCACATTTTTTTATTAACTAATAAATTTTTGATGAAAATGTAAGAAGGAAACTTTAGAATAGAAAAATAAATGCAACTTATAGATTATACGTTTCATGAAAAATTACCAGTAAAAACTTTATAAAAATGATTTATTGATGGCCTTTGTTAGTTAACTATGTCCGTTTAAAATTCTATTAAGTGATATAAGTTGCAATAATTTTCTATGCTTAAGTTTCTTTCTTATTTTCTCAGCAAAAATTTATTAGTTAATAAAAAAATGTAAAAGTAAAAATTATCCTTCTTTCCATCTTGCGCTTACAAATCATTATGGGAATATCCATTTACAGTTATTAAAGCCTGCAAAAAAGCATGTCTGCGATGTTATCGTCATGCGATGATTTGTAGATACTTTATATTTTACCACGATATTTTCGACGACGATGTTTTTAAACTGCGAAGTTTTTGAACCGCTTTATTTTCGACGACGATGTTTTGTACCACGATGTTTTAGAACTGCGATGTGTTCTCTTTGCGATGTTTTCTCCCACGATGTTTTGTAGCACGACGTTTTCGCCTTGTGTTGTTTTCTCCGCGACGTTTTCGTCCGTTTTTGCCGCGATGTTATCGGCGGACACCAAGGAGGTTTGAATCCTTGCGACATGCAGCGCCATCTAGCCACACAGCTATATGCAGACATACAGACATTAACGCAGACACTCCAGGATTTTCGAGACACTTCGGAGCTTCTCGCGAAACCGCGAGTATATCTGACATAGTGGACAGAACAGCAATATAAGGACAACAGATTCTTGTTTTGTCAATGCTGAGGATCGCTGTTGCCAAATGCGAATAAATTTTCGTATTCTTGGTAATTCTTAAGGTTTAAAATTAAGGTCGTAGTGTAGGTTTAGCGCCAAAAATACTCAGAATAGATTATAATTGTATACACTTTATTATAAGAGGGGGGCGATGAAAATTATGACTGAAAATTGGGTCGCGAATACTGAAAGGTTGAGAAACGCTGCCTTAGTCGAAGGATTGAAGAATGAATAAAGACATAATGGAACAGTGAGTAATGTATCGAACAATGGATGTTTATATACTACATTCGTAGAATTGAGTAATGAATGAACGCATAATTAAGCAATGAATAATGAATTAGACAGTGTATCCTCTATTGGAAAATCAAGCAATGAATAAATACATAATTGAACAATTAATAATGTATTGAGCAATGAACGTTTACATACCGCAGTTCTAGAATTCAATAGTGAAGTGACATGTTTATTTATCTATCATTATATTTTATTCAAAGATATTTCAACCTCTGTCTTGGAATTTGTTGTCATTACATTTCCCAAATCTCTTATAATAACACATAGTTTTTAACACAAATATTTAGATGAAGTTACTCCCCAACGGCCGCGCGGTACCACATAGATACAATAGTAGTGCGATCTGGCCACAAATACCAACGACTGGACTGTTTGCACGAGCATTTTTAGAATTGTTCTCCATGTACAGTGTAAATTAAAGTCAGCAGACAAAGAAGGTAAACTTACACAAATAGTTCCCAACGCTGATGTTACTTACTTATCAGAAATGGGAGAAATGGTAACACAAAGGGCTTAAGGAAGAAGTTGCTTTTGTGCAGACCAGAAGTCAATGACGTCATAGAAAAGCAAGCCTTATAGTAAAGTAACCTTGGTATGAATAGGAAACTTAAGACTTCCTCTTACAATGCAACACTTTCGGTAAGTAGATAGCTTATGATCCAAGTAATCTAATCCAGTCTGTAAATGAAGTTGGTAAAAATGATGTTCATTTGATGCTAGAGCTATGTACAAGTACATCCACAAAAAATGTTTTTCAATGTTCGCAAGTGAATATATGAATTATTGACAGAAATGTATTTAGAAGTTATTTTGAGGTACAATTTTCTTCATGAAATGAGCATCTGTATTTGTAAGTTTTGCTTTAACCTGCACTAATGCCTACATGGAGAATGCTAATTTTGTTGCCAATAATAAGTAAGTAAATAATAGATAATTGTGCCAGTTTATTCTACCTAGCTCGCATTCTAGTGACAAAGATAGAAAAATAGAACGGATAAAAAGACTTAATTTAAGAATTGCGCTTTATTTTAAACAGAAGACATCTATTTATCGAGAGCATTCATAATTTTTATTTTCTTTCTCCCACTATATGAAAAAATGCGTACGTTTTATTTTATGTTTTACTTTGGGAAAAGATACGGAGAATATATCCCTTGCTGCAGAATAATATTTTGGAATTTAAGATTGTTTTGAAAGCAAAATTTTAAAATTTGGCTTAAAAGATTCTTTTTAACACTATAATCCCAGAAATAAAAAATTAAGGTAATTATTGCTCAAAACAACTATTGAATTAACAGCTTTACATTTTTATTCAATAATGGAATGCATTCCGCTCATTAGTTATAAAAATTTTTTCGGAATCCTTAATGCGTATTTTATTACATTAATTTCGAAATAACTAAATTTGCATAAAAAATTCTATGGCGTTAAAACATCTGTTTCTTTATGATGAATAATAATTAATGAATTAATTTTGGTCCTAAGAGAAAATAAATCTTGCATTGTAATTATAAGCTTAAATGCCGTCATTTGGGTAAGAGTTCTAGAATACATTAAATAAAATTAAAATCCTAGAGCTTTAAATAAAACTTAATTTCGGATTTTATGGAACAATACTGTTTTTTATTAAAATGTTTAGCTACCGCTATAATTATTTAGTTCTCATTTTAATAGTAAACATACTTATTTGTAAATCTTATTGTAAGCAATTTTTTAAACGATCACGATATAAAAATTATCCTTAAATTTTATGGTAGAAATACGTATACTATTGTTTTAATTAGATTTTTGTTATTTTATTTTACATTTCGGACTTACTACTAAATTGTAAATTTTATAATAAAAAATGAAAATCTGAAAGGATTCATATTTTGACATAGCATCAAAGGGTTGTTATGACGTTTTATTTCTCCCAGAACTCGTAGCTTATAAATGCATTCTTGGACTCACTTCTGTGAACACAACTTTTTTTATATATTTTTAACTTAATTATTAAATGTCACACAGTTAAATGCTGTCTTCCTCAGTAAAATTATATAATTTTTAAAACAAGCCTAGTTTTAGACTTCCCTACAGTGTGTTGCGTGTTGTCATTCCTTTTTCTGCTTAAATTGTTTTCTCATTTCATCGAAACAATACTCAATTTATTTAACAAGATAACCTCCGGCTTTTATTTTCACAGTCGTTGGTCGTAGACATATAATTCCAATTTTAGAAGTGTTCTAAAGCTGAAAATATTCATATTTTGGCAATATTAAATTCAAACAAAATTAATTTTGGACAAACAACGAAATCTTACAGACAGTTCCTTATTGGTGGACGTTTATTGAAAATTAAAATTTTGTTTCTCTTAGATAAAAAAAGCCTTATCCAAAAATTTTAAACAGGACTATCAGGTTCAATGTTTCTTCTAACCTTCTTCGGAAACATACAATGACCTGACTAGAACAGAGAGCTTACTAAAGCTATGTTCACTAATTGTAGTAAGTAGACAGGATACAGACGAAGGGTATACAAAACCCTTTATTTTTTCTTTATATACAATGACTTCCGTACTTCGGAATACAATGACCCTCCACTCGGGGTCTAACGTAAAAGATATCAAAAATAAAACTAAACTCTAATTTAACTTTAGAATAAGATTGGCCTTATAATAACAGGAAGCGTATGTAGCACAGAGACTGTGAACACTACAATACGTTTAATTTATCAAGAGGATTAAAACCTCTGGCCTGGAAGGCAAAGTAGCAACTGCGTAACTTCTAAGGTAAGCGGCCTGCTTCGAACTCACTGCTTCCTCTCTTCTGCTTGGCAAAAAGGCCACAACTTAAATACTTGGCGTTCGCCAGACAAACTTTGCATAAAATCCTTCAACGCTTATAATTCTGGCCGGAAGTAGAAAATAAGAAGTGATAGTAAAGATTTAAAATAAAATAAACGTTAGTAAAACTTAAGATCCTTACATACTTCCCGCCAGAGTTAATTAGTTTGAAACTGAGGTCTAAAACGACCTTGTTGAAAACTTTTAGCTCTAGAATCTAACGCGAGGCCAATCCTTTTACAAACATAACTTAGCTAGAAACTAGAAAATTTTAAAAGAAAGAAATTTGTTACAATAGCAGCTCCCGGGAATATACAACAATCTTTTTTTTTTCATCTGTACTGCATCTAAACAGGAGCTTTATTCAATTCTGGTTCCTTCCAGAGATCTGGAAGGAAAACTAGTTTAATGAAATGTTACACAATGAAATTGGCAAGTAACATATAGAATATACTTTCTTAACATTCTTATTTCATTCATGA